AACAACGATGAATTGATCGTTCAATCTTCAACTACACTGACACTCCCTGGCAAAAAACAGATCCATCCCTTTTTTCCATCATGACCAATACACGTTGAATTGGATGCCATTGCGAGGACCTGGGTCACACGGACAGAGCTGAAATGGAAAACAAACAGAAAAGCCAACACACCACAAGCATACCCACAGCACAATATCACACATCAATGACGACCTGCGCCTTCCAGTTAAAGGCATCCTCTTGCAACACATTCTCCACTTGCTAGAATGACTCTTGCAGAATACAACGTGACCATAGCAGCACCTCACGATACTCTACGCACATCCTCTTATCTACTCACTACCAATTACCACTGAAATCGCTTGTCACTCATCCTGCCTCAATTCTAGTAACGGTGACGTATGCGAGCCTCAGTCGTCTACACTCTCGCTCCCCGGCGTGTGAGACTGCAGCTAACAATTATCTCCGTGTGCATTTCATTCTCAGCAATAGCCTAGCCTCCCCGGCGTATACGACCCATCTGCTGTCCTTAACATCAGTCAATTCATTCACGGATGTAGAAGAGTGGACACAACTTCAGAAGTAATCACGACGAACAATTTAACAAAATTATGCAATAACAACAAGGTACGAAAACAACGAGTAAACACAATGAGTCCAAAAACACCAATTGATATGACACAACACACATATATACAAACAGTACACATAACCTCGCGGATCATGTTTTGGTGGAATTCCTTTGAAGAATCGCAGGACTTACACCAGTACGCCTACAACCCTTCTCAGGTTGACGATTGTAAGTTGTAGAATGTCCGGACACACACAAGATTAACCAACAATTACAATAATTGGAACTCTCACAAATATTTAACACAAACATGTGTACAATCAATACATCAAATGTGGTGGATTCTGGCTTGACAAACTACCCTTGAAGAACTGTAGGACTTACAGCAGTACGCCTACATTCCTTCTCAGGTTGATGACACAAGCGGAAGTCGTCCGAACACAAACAGAATTACCAACAGACAGATGATATCAATTCAGTATGTACAATATGATCATACGTACAAAATCACATACCAAGCACATTGGACTGCTCATTGTTGCGCTACCCTTTGAAGAATTGTAGGACTTACAGCAGTACGCCTACAACCCTTCTCAGGTTGACGCCCTAGGTTGGAAAATCGTTGCAGAGTTCATTTGCTGACTTCCTTCTATCAGCTATATCCTCAAATCTGAACGGTAACACGCCCATGTGTCGTAGAATATAGATGACTAACAAACACACGACGTATCTGATCAACCAAGCGTAGAAACAGAGTAATTTACACCAAAGATAATAGCATTCAAATGGTAACTTGAAACAAGAAATGCACTTATTCATGCAAGTCAATTTAACAATTACTCTCTCGTTTACACTTGGCTTATTCTCACTAAACTGAGCAATATCTTTCGTCTTTTCAAATGCACCAATACCATCATAGTCATTGCACAGATACTTGAGTTGATGGGCGGCTTTTTCATTATGGATGACAACACCAACGACGACTGATTAATACCAGCGTCTAACAAGCTGTGTCTTCCCTTTCTTCAGTTTGAATTTAGGTCTTCCTGATTTTTGGCGTGGCTCTCAGGTGAAATCCATGTTGCTCTGTGCATATACTTGTACCTGTAAACGATGGCTCTAATCATCAAATCACTTAATACGAAGAAGTCCGAGAAGAGTCCTCGCTTCTCACTCATTTCGCCGAGCCCTTTAAATCGTGATGAATTCCATTCCTGTATCGTCTACTCTCAGTTTGGCTTGCATTGATTCTGTCCATGGGGATTATGATGACGCCACTTGGGATGTTATCCATTGTTGTTCCCAGTTGTCCATAGAAATTTTCTCTTGATCTGAGTTCTTAGTAGGCACGGAACACTGGGTGATTGTAACCTTTCATCCCTTTGAGTCGAATTATACTGTCGAAAAATCCGGAGTAGATTGCAGCCCACTTCATTGGAGCTTTAGTTATTGTTGGTGATTCCACTCCCTTAGTTTGCTACTGGTTGCCGTCTCGGTGGCCAAAGTAGATTGTTGACTCTTCAGTTGACAGTTTGAATAGCCCACATGTATCTCACCTGTTCTCGCAGATTCCGGCCACTTTTGAGCCGTATCTTCTCATATCTTTTGCAAAATGGGCAGCATTCCCAGTTTCGTAAATTGTGCGAACATCTCACCTTCTAGTGCTTATTTTCGCTTTCATAGGAAGAAAACGTTGGGCGAATGGCTCTCCGGAGGCTCTGATAAACCCGCGTCATTTCGCCTCTCGGACTCCAGAGAAGAATTAGTTTGTCTCTTGTACCTTTCCAGTTATTTGAGACTTCTACAGAGATTAAATGGATTTTCCAGGCTGAGGCCAATATCTCTGCATCTTCCCTCTTTTCCTTCCTTCTTTCTTTATCAGCTGAAGAACTAGCAAACTAGTAAACTAGTCGATGTTATTGTGAATTATAATAACATTTATTTATAGGTTTTGAAACTATGACATTTGAACCTGCGACAGTGTGAACCCGTAAGGTTTCAAAGCAGTAACGTTTCGTACTGTAACATTTTGTACCGTAACTGTCACATCATGCTAGTTTATTTTGGGACGATAAATATACTCCAAACTGCCAGGCTGTCTTTTATTTACAAAACTAAATACCAAGACCCAAGTATTATGACTGAAACGCAGGAGACCGATCTACAAAACAAAACCACTACTATTAAAACTTTTTTCAGTTTTCCCCTTTATAGTTAAACATCCTTACCTGAGTCACATGCAAAATAAAGCTCCAAAACGTTGCTTAATTTTACTATATCTTTTTCTGTTAAGCAGTATGAAGTTATCACAGAAATACAAAACGACTTTAAAATAATGTCATGTAATGATACAGTCGACAGTTTCTTCGGTATAAAATACGGACCATACAGCGAAAAATAATAAGCTGAACTCATATGTGAAATAACCACAAAACAGTGAGAAAAGCCACAAAAAACTAGGAGAAAATTTGCTCCCCTGAATTCACATAATACTGAACACGCTTCGATCAGGCATTACAAGGGCAAACAGTCACTCCACGATTCAACCTTGAATTAATTGAAACGGAATATTGATTGTGGCAAAACAGCACCGTATTGTGAACAGTCAGACAGTATTAAATTGTGAAGTGAAGGAATTCATTATCAACCAAAATAAGGATAAACGACAAGGTTGATTTCAGCGGAGCTGAAGTAATTTCGAAAAGGTGATAAAGAGGCAAGGAGCAAAGGATAATGATTACAAAATTAGCATGAATTTTCAAAAAGGTATCGGTAATGCACGTATACCATTCTCAGGGGATTTTCATATCCATCATTCTAAGACAATTACCGCTAATTGATACTTGCTGATTATCAGTCATGGAGATGGTCACCGACTGTAATCGCTCCAATCTGACGAACAACAATATGTATTTTGAAAGCTTGAGATTTAAACATGAGATCAGAATCATTCCTAAAAAAGACCATGATTGTCTAGGTCCGAAAAACATAACCATGACTCCACCAGAATTGTTCCTTGAGGTCATGGTATGACGTGGATTCTAACCAGGAGTTTCGAAGGAAGGTGATAGTCTTTCTCTGAGTAGCATATCTTTCTGTAGCCTTTCTTATTCAATCTGCTGTATTTGAAATCTGCTCAGTGATATATGTTGACATGTCCTGGGTGTCACTCTTTCTTCACATATGCACCATCATTTCTTTCGAGGAAGGAGATACAAATACAGTGCTTTAAATCTAATATTGAACCTTTAAAGACCAAAGTTGGACTCCGTATGGCATTTCGCATTTCGCGTTAACTATACTGTTGTGCATTTCTTGTGTGAATTGACATCTTAATGCATGACGAACTGAATATCACACGAAATTGACACTGCTTGCTCGTTTTCACTTAGAGGAAGCCTTTTTCCGCATGCACTGACAGATGTCTGACATATCTTCTCTATGGTGGAGAGTCCTAACTTCTCTGATAGTCTCTTCGGTATTATGATGATGTTGGATGCCTTGCCAGTTTGAAGTCGTTAGGATTGTGAGTTGATCATGACACCTTTGTATATCCGTGGTTCACAGGCGCTGATGAGATGGGTCCGACGTCGACATTACTGGATACACCGCATGAACTTCCACCGAATTCTGACTGCCGGACTGGATCAGCGTGTTGTCTGTGTCAATATACGTCCCCAATACCTTTCAGTGTTATTCGTAGGTCTTATTCAGTCATGTTCAATCAGTGTTTTATATCGGTGTTCATGTCAGTAAATTTGGATGACTGCAAACCGGAAACAGAGGTAATGATTTCGAACTGATCTTCTGCCAGAGGCCTTAAGTTGAACCGCTAACTATGGTGATTAGCAACTCACTGCTGAGTGTGAATATCATCGTTTCGTATAGCACCACTTTCATATGGTGCTGCTGTATGTTGAAGAAAGGCTTGTAGTTACCAAAATGCTAGCAGAGTGTCTGGAGGGCTTCGTCTTGTTAGGCTACAAGCCCATCTCACATGGAGCCTGTTCTGTCATATCTAGAGCAGAAATTTGGCTTATCTTTTCTTTGTATTTAAAATATTGCCTGAAAGACTGAGGGGAAATAGAATAACTGTTTTCTTTAGTCAAAATATCCACATCGATACTTAGTCTATTATTGGCATAAACTGGTAGATTATAACCAAGAAAAGGCACTACGTACTAGGTCATGCATTTTTTGGAGCGCGATTCTTGAACAAATCTACAATGTTGACATCATGGGTTGAGTCCTTTGGCTAGTATGCTTAGTGATTGTTTCAAATTGTATTCAGCACGAATAACTTGCGCTAAAATACTTTGTGGAATAACACCGACATCACAGAAGTTTGCCTTTTCCTGATGCTGTGGCATATTGTGTGTTTCAGTGAAAGCGGCTCATTGCATTTGTTTGTATTAGTGGATTGCCAATGGCGGAAAATATGAAATAGTACCAAGTTGACCTTAGATATTTCATGCGGAGGTTAGTGGTCAACTGAAAGGCCTCAATAATCCTCATCTCTTTATCCTAAACCTTCGTAAGTCATACAGTTACTTGTTGTTTCTAATGGGTGTTTTACTATATGAAAACACTGATTTTGAAAAACATTACTGTACAACCTAATGAAGGGCATGTTATCATGCTTCAGCAACTCAAATTGATTGTATTTGTGCTATATTCGTTAACATATCATACATTTTGTGACAGTATTGCTTTGTGAAGATGTTAGCGTTAACAATTGTTGCAAGTCGGCGTTAAATGTGTACATATATGTACACATTGATTTGGCTATTCCAGGCTTTATTATTATCTGCACGAATTATTGAACAAGTCATGGTTGGTGCCCAAGTATTATATAACACTAAGCTTGTTCTATTTAAACTGTTTGCTGACTGGTGATGAAGGTGCAAGCAAACTTGGCACCTCATCTGAAGTACATGACGCCCACTCTAAATAAGTCAGCGTTTAACTTCCAGTGAACAGTATCTAATTTGACTGTTTAAATAAATACCCGGGTCTAAACCAAGGTATTGGATATATCATTCACCTCTGTGACTACACTAACACTTTCGGGTCACTTCCCTGAGTAATCTTAATTGCCACGTTATTTGTTTATTTGATCAGTCTTATTAATTTTGAGTCAAACTTTAGTTGCACATCGTTACGGCACAGTACAGTAAGTTTTGTTATAAGCTGTGCAATGCACATCTTCCGTTTGGAGATGTTTAGCCAATTCGAAAAAAACAGGGGAAGGTCCGGGGTTTTTTGTCTGTCCTTCTGTAAAGAAGCATTTCAATCCATAGTACCACCTAGAACTAGATATTTTCCCCAAGTTATCATTCTCCTATATTAACACACGATACGCATTTATCATCAGGTTGACTTAACTGAGTCATAGTCAATTTTCAGTTGGTGACTATGAGTATTGCAAGTTGTGGTGAAAATATTGTTACGGCACGATTACGTAGTTTTTTTTTTATAAATTTCACTTGGTCAGCATTTTCTCAAGTACAGAATTTCTTGGTAGTTCACGGAAGCCACGAACTTTAGGTGACATACAAGTATGATGCGCGGTTGTAGTAGGGTTGGTTGGTTACTTAGAAATGCGTAAAGATCTGTGAAGACAGACCAAAAGTCTCTTTTCTGCTTATCTGCTCTACGAATAAGTAACAACAAATACTGCAGATTTGATAAATTTATGCCAGTGATTCTATCTTGGTGCAACAGCATTTTCGCTCACTAATGACCGACGAATACGAGTGTTACCTTATTCATTCCAGTCAGTAATTGCAGCTAACACCATAGGATTTCAATTAACAGGCTACGGAGATTCTTAATATTACTCCGTTTTCGAAATAAAAGACAATTTGCATTTGATTATCATGAGCTATAAGTAAACCATTTCTCACCATGAAAGCTTCTTTTAAGCAGTCCACCTAGTTGCCGCATCTTTATCTAGTGGTTGATGACCAAGAAAGCTGTGAGCCTATGGAAGTGTGTGTTCTTGCTTTTCTTTCGGGGAGGGGTATCTGTGTTAAGGTCATACTGCCGGTTACAAACCGTCGCAAGGTAAGTCAGGATGTACGATTTCCGAAGTCAACCTTTTGCAACTCTCTGCAGATCAGGAAGGTACCACAGCTGGCTTACCGGTCGTCTATTAGAAGCGCCTTACTTCTGTTACATCTATTTGGCAAGAGTACGACTTCTCCCTCAGACCTCCAACGTAATGTTACTTACACTGTTACAGTAACTGGTCTTAGTTTAACAGGTATCCAGACGAACTTTCTGATATAGCAGGACCCACAGAAACAGGTTCCAGCCGATGTTACTGGTTGTGTAGTTGCGATATGTAAGGCAGATCGTCGTGTCAACGTAGTAGCTTTCGGGGGTGGGGAATAGAAAGACCTAGTTCTAATTCGAATGATTAGATTAGCAGATTACAATTGAAATGTTACAAGACCACTATAATTTAAAAGGTGTCGCTTAGTTCTTATTTCCCCACAAAGGCTAAGAGCTTTCTCTAAAATCGCGCTAGCGAAAATTGCATCCACATTTGACTATCATATATTTTGCAATTAACTTTCATCTTCATTGTTGTTGAGCTCTTTATAATTTTGAAAAAATCATCCATCAGCCACAAATTGTGGCTTTGAACGTTACCACCAAATGAAGCAGCAAGCGTTGGTAGTCATTAGATAAGCCTTCTATGCTGCGGATATCCATATTTGGAGAATTATGACCCATTTAGTTGTTCACTTTGAAGAAAGTTCTGAAATTTAGCAACGGCGTACTGGTCAGTAAGACAGATCTTTTATGCAAGGTCCGTTATTGTGTCCAAATTAGGTGAGATTATCAAGCTCCTGGTTTCTGCACTTCGTCACTTGGTATGGCGATCTGAAGACGGCATTAGCTTGCATTGTGGGTACAAGCGAGCAAAATTAATGGCTGTATTCAGGCTATCAAGATCAATCATTATAATTACTTGTTGAAAGCAAGTAGTCGTTTGCATTCTTTATAAAACTTGGCAGATTTGTGCTGAGAGATTCACCTGGATATTTCTACTTGTCGCCATTTGACTACCCTGATATATAGCCTTCCTACTGTAGTTCCGTACTAAAATAATAAGAATGTTAGTGCTATAAGTAATTCGTTGTTTTTTTAACGTCTTGTCATATTTCAGTTAGCTAGAACCGTGCCAACTACGGTACTTGGGATTCGTACTTAGTGTATCTTGTGTGATGTTTGTCAGCTTAATTGCTTGATTACTAGTTATAATGAATATATAGTGTGGTATATTCTCTGTTGATATTTTCGATACATTTGTCTTTTTACTGGTTGTTGGTTATTGTCCAATGATAGAAATGGGGATTTTCACTGGGTGAAAATCTTACATTTAACTGAACTGATTCATAAATGCAAGTGAATACTTTCATTATTTACTGATTTCACTATAAATCTTTTGTTATAGTTATAAATGAACACACCAACACAACAATTTCCAAAGAATGATAACATTCCTGAGTCTTCGCCTGGTCCTGAAGCCACGGAAAGTACTACAAATAAGCCAGATGACAGTGACTTGTTGAATCGTTCTGCGTTTCGAAGGGATAGTGGTTCACGTTCGGCCACAAAAAAGGTCAAGATCGTTGACCCTAAACAGAATGTTGAGGGGGATTCTGATGAAGAAGATTCCATATCACAACCTAATACTGGTAATATTCCCGTGCTCGGTGAATCAGTCTCTGCTGTTAATTGTGGTCAAGCAAATGACCAACAGGCAGCTTCTGCAGCTTCCATTGATCGCAAAAAGACGAAGGAGGAACGGAAAAAAGAACGTGAGAAAAAGAAAGAGGAGGAGATGTTAAAAAAGTATCAGGCAGAGCAGGAAGCTAAACAAAAAATATCAGCTAAGTCTAAATGTGGTCGGTGGATAAAGCATAATTTAAAGGTATTTATAACCCCAGGTTGTTACGATTTTGACAGATTGGTGAAGGGGGCTATAAATTTGTTTACCGTGGATACGATAGCGTTGAGGCAAGAAACGTTGCGTGGTGTGAATTTAAAGTAAGTCTTCTAATAGCCGTTTACAGTTGGTAGCGTGAACATGTTGATACTAAAGAAAAGCGTCAAGCAATGTTCAGAGAGACAGAAATTATGTTAAAAATGAACCACCCCCACATCGTCAGGTGCTTTGATGTTTTCAGGGAATGGATAGATATGGAAGATCCGAACAATCAAATTGAAGAGAAGGGAGTTGTGATTATTCAAGAATTGATGGGTGAAGGGACCTTAAAAAGGTATTACTTCAAATTTCATGGTTTTACCATAACCTTTTACTTAGTATTATTAAAAAGAATTTCCTAGATGGTCAGTGTATACTTAAGTTCCCCCTTATCACACGTTGGTGGCATCAAATCTTAGATGCTTTGCGTTATATGCATCACAAAATACAACCACCTATTTTACATAGGGATTTAAAAGCCGATAACTGCTTTTTGTATGGTGCTTCTGATGAAGAGTATTTGAATGTGAAGGTTGGAGATTTCGGTTTGGCTACTCATGTTAGCAACAGCGGAAGGAAAACCATGCTTGGTAAGTATCCTGTTTATGGGAGCTTATTACTATATGTATCTTATAACATTGAATGTAATATTTTCGTTATCTGCTTTCACCACCTAATTAGAACATTCCATTTTCTCACAGTGTTCATCTGAAATGGTGACGACTAGTCATGGATGTCCATTATCACCATTTCTACTCAATTTCATCATAGATGTACTAATGGATTTAACCCTAACTCACTTCAGTGACTCAGGTATTGACTTGCTACCAGGGAATAATCTCGTTGACTTAGAATATGAAGACGATATAGCCCTTCTAGGCGAGGACGCTGATAAAATGCAGAGTCTTCTGAATACCTTAAGCTGCAGTCTACGAATGTTTGGCATGCGGTTCGCTCCCGCCAAATGTAAGATGATGTTACAAGACTGGACTACACTGACTCCTAGTTTAAAAACGGGAAGTGAAGTGGTAGAGCACATTGACCGCTTCACTTATTTGGGAAGTACCATCAGCCAGTGCCAACGGGTTGATCTCTGACGAAATCTCAGTACGGATAGAGAGGGCTAGTTTCGCATATGCCAGTTTACGCTGTCTCTGGCGTAGATGTGATATCCGGCCACTGACCAAAGGGTGGGTGTACCGCTCACCAGTCCGCCCCATCCTCCTTTATGGCTGTGAGACGTGGCCATTGGGAGTAGATGACATGAAAAGACTAGCTGTCTTTGATCACAGGTTCCTACGTTGTATATCCCGTGTGAAGTATAATAAGGTGAGCAATATTGAGGTTAGGCTGCGGTCGAGTTCTAGGTAAAGAGGGGAAATCAATAGATGAGGTTGTGAAGTTACATCGGCTGAGATAGTCAGGACATGTGTTACGCATGCCCAGTCATCGCCTTCCCCGACAATGAGCAATGTTAGCTGACATAGGGTCAGGCTGGAAAAGAGCTAGCGGCGGTCAAACCAAAACATTGCTCCAGTCAATGAAATCCACAACAGTTAGTTTAAGCCAGGTAGGAAGGTGTAGACTTTCTGTTTAAGGTCCTCCTGGTCGGAGTCCTCGGGACGGTTAAAACCAGTGTCTGGAAACAATTGGTGATATGGCTCAAAATCGTTCTCAATGGCCAATGCAGATGCATCCACTCCCTGTGATGTGTGATTTCCAATGTAACTATATTGTTCTTCGTTATTACTATTCCTTTTGTCTCACACCTCTGTTTACTGTCTCTATTATGCATTTCTTGTACTTTCTTCTGTTGCTTTGTGTGCTACAAGGAGGGAGTGTGGCGACTTGAAGTGCTGCACATCGGTGCAAAGTTCTATGTCGAAAACAGACACAGAGAGTGTTCATGATAAGTTTCAATGCATTTTCAAGCCTTATAAAACTGAAGGCTATTCGCTCACTAGATTGTGGTGAGTACTAGGTAAATGAATAAAATTCTTTTTCGTTACTGGCGTAGTTTAAGGTCTACTTGTCATACATATTTAACCTTTTTCATATTGGAAAGCTTTAAAAGGTAAATGTTCTCCACAGAATCCAGTAAGTGTTGCAAAGTAATGAACAAAGCAAGTTTTAGTACAGCGTTCGCTCATAAAAATAGGTTTTGCAACTTATTATCACTTTTAATATCTAACTTTTGTGCAAACTTCTGTGTATATTGTTTTAGGTACTCTTGGTTTTATGGCACCAGAAATTTTCGATGAAAAATATGATGAAAAAGTCGATATATATGCATTCGGTATGCTGATGCTAGAAGTGATGACAAATCGTACACCGTACGATGAGTGTGAGACGGTTTTGCAAGTAGCAGCTAAAACGATGTCTGGTCAAGGTCCTGATATCATGCAAATGGTGTCAAACCCTTCCTTACGTGAGGTGATATGCGCATGCATACAGCCCTTAACGTGTTTTCGTCCTACTGCTGATGAGTTGTATTTCCATCCGTTATTTCAAGTGAGTGTCACTGTCTCTAACTGGTATTGCAGAAGTTATTAAGTATGAGGCAATTTTTGAATTTAAGTAACATTACTTACATTTCCAAATGATAGTGCGTTTATTCTAATGTATGTATAAAATTTACTAAAGAAGATACATTCGCTCACTTTTTAATGGGATAACTGCATTATAGGTGAGATTTTATTTTGATAAATCACACGGTGTTATACAGTAATATTAACTGATGACGTTTCGGGCACAAACTATCGCTCATAATCATATGATATAATTAATAGCTCACCGTTCATCAATATTTGAGTAGCTGAATGACGTTATTCATCTTCATTTAACGGATGTGATTCATAGAGTCAGGGTTAGATTTACGCATGTAGTTTTTGTCTTTGTAAAGATGAATAGATAATAAAGTATTGTGTAACTATTTTTCCAATACTCAAAAGTGGGAAAAATCATACTGAAATCACCTGTAAATAAGTAATGCATCTAAAAGAGTATTTCATGTGTGATAGGTTAAATTCTAGTTTTCTAGGAATTTTAATTTGATCACTAACCGACACAATTTTGTTGCACCCTAATATATGAAAGCAGTGATGATGATAATAAATAATAATAATAATAATAATTTGAAGATACCTTTTAATAGTTTCTACGCTCGCCCACTATTTTTTTAAAAAATCACCAGAAATATCAGGATGGCGACGATTCATGGGTACGTAGATGATTATTCGCTGTCAATTTTTAAAAAAAAACTTTTTCACGTGTGAAAGGCTCCATAATTGTCGCTGAATAAATAATATTCAATTCTATTTTATTTTTTATCAGGTTTAAGGTTCAGTTTGCTTCATTTTATTTCACTGATAACACCTGGAGTATTGTTTATTCTAGTGTATATTCTGTCAACGCAGTTTTACTGCAGATTTGATCAGTACTTATAATTCATGATTAAATATTGATTCCCTTCTTAACTTTCCCGATATTGACTACATGCCGTATATCTTATTTAATAAAAATAAGTAGAATAATTGGTAGGTAATTCCAAATACGGCCGTAAAACATCCATTAGGAGTGAGAATAGTTAAGCTGGGCTGTTACAGGTATTCGATGATGGGTGTTTTGAGTTTATTGTGTATATCCACTGGAAGTGCCCAGAAACAATAGTCAATTTAGTAACCTAGTTTAAGTATGCGTTCAACAGCCTGAAAGTAATAAAGCTGCACAACTATGTTTTAGAAATGAAAGCTACTTTAATTAAATTTTCTATGATTAGCTAAAATGTATCAAAAATATGTGATTTTTTCTGGTGATTGAAATCAGTTGTCTAGGTATTTTGTTGACCTATGGAAAGAGTAATCATGCGTGTTGTTGGCATTTCTCTACTCTTTCCTTAGATTTTATTTTTATTAGTGTGCTTTTGTTAGTTGAACATGATTCTTTGATTTTATCAACTCCTTTTTTTCGCATTTTTACCTGTATATGTTAAAATGTGTGGAAATATGCGCCAGGAAAATGTCTCTTTTATCTATCCACAATGCTAACTGTAATATATATATATATATATATATATATATATATATATATATAATTCGCCTGCTTACCGGACTGCATATTTCGTGTTTGCTTTGCTTTATAATCGCTGAGTGTTGGTTTTTAGACTGCATACAAAAGTGTGGGATATATTCTCGATGTTTTCTGTGCATAAACTCTATGTTGTTTTCAAATAATTAGTTCAATTTTGTCTCTTTCATACATTAATTTTAAATTGCTTAATAGTTCCTAGCTGTCGTTTTTCTTGTCTTCTTTGAGTTATACAACACCTCTTTTTCTGATTATTAGTTATCCGAAAATGGAAATAGTCTACGTGATTGCAGTAGTGTAAATATTCAAGTTTTCTGTAAAACCTTCTTGTGGCAATCACGTACATAGCAGTTTTCAGTCATGTGCTTTATTTAGTAAACGTAGTCCAAAGTGATATTTCATGTCAAAAGCGCTGACTTGATTAAAATTTTCTAAGGACATTGTTTTAAAGTTGAGTAATAACTTATCGTAGTTGAATAAACACGTCATTTAATGGGTCAGTGATTTAATTTTTTAGCGTTTTCCAAGTAATGCATAATCATGTAATCGAGAATTATTTCATATTTGACAAAGTCATTAATAGTCTGGTTTCAGTTGCCGGTTTGTTTAGATATTTAAGGCTCACACTTAATCTAGCTAGTCAGTTGAAGGTGTTTTCATTCTTGAGTTTAGCATATAGGTAGCAGATAACAGTAATTCCATATTAGTTTGTTTATTAAATGTATCACACAGTGAAACAGTACTGTATACTGGATGACGTTTCGAACACAATTTATTGTTCATAATCATATAAAAAAAAATTGATATGATATTGAATGATAACGCCAAAAAGCTTTACAAAAGAAGGTGTAATCATTGGGCAAAGGAATCAGCGTATTTTGTGTTGTTCATGTATAACTAAACTTTTTGTGGATAAATAGCATTAAGTAGCAGATTTTTATTTGTATTACTGTTTGCATATGTGCTTACAATAGATTTCAACAAAACTGGTCAGTGAAAGTCGACAAGTTATACTATAAATGTTGTGTTGCTGGAGTAAATGCTTGATGTGTAAAGATTTTGATCAAAGTTTATTTCTACTTGATCATCTAAGACGTTGTTCTACCAACTTGGTAGGAACAACATCACACTTGGATACAGTTAGTTCACGTATCAGTGCGTTGACTTAGTCGGAACATATCACATTTTAATGTTTACACACATTTACATAGAGTTTTCGTGATACGTGGATAGTATATGACATGGCCCATATTATTTATCTTTATTTGGAGTATTGGAGTAGTATACTGATTATTACTACAAGTTGCTTATACTTGTGTATGTATCAAATAATGACAATAATTCCCCCATCAGTAGTATATACTCCCTGAATAATTTTTATTGAAAGATACTCCATGTATATGTATAATGCACCATTTGTTTTCTATTTTTAAACTTTACACTTTCACAGTTTTAATTAGTGTTTCACACAGCGAATACGCGTCTCACATATAGTTTATGGCTTTTATCACTATTGGTTTCTTCGGTATTACCTACTTTTAACTAACGTTGTAGATACGATGAATTCTTAGTGCTCAATATAAATATGAGTGATGGTTTTCTAATTTTTTTAATATTTTTCGATGCACATTTAGCCGAAAACGTTACCAGTAGAAGTAGAGCCAAATTACGATAATGCAACAGATCGTGCAGAGGTACTAGATCGTTTTGTGCGATCTCTTGGTAATCCAGAAACGCGTAATCCGAATTTCAACTTGCGGCTAAGATTTCGAGATAAAAAGATGTTACAAGAACTGGATTGGATGATGGTGAATCATTGGAATTCGATTTAGATATATATAAAGCTGAGGATCAGGATATTCCCGACCTAATTCATAATTTAGTAAGTAATTTTGTTTATACTGTTGAATTGAATTCATTTCGGAAGGTACGCTTAGGCACAGAAAAAGTTGGCTAAGTGCATTATACTTTTGAATTTCAAAAGCTTATATTTTCTGTTATGTATTATATTCTTACTTCTACGTATTGTTGATAAACTGTCAAAAAAGCATGTGTACCCAATAGTACTACAATGTCTGCAAACTTCTTTAGCAAATGAATCTGTTTTTTCTCCACTACTATTCATCATTTTTATGCTTGACTGTTTTGTTGTTAGTAATTTTTTATAATTACACTGTCGTAATTGTAATGCTGTTCTGTAGATTAACTTAAGTCACATTTAGTCTTTAAACCGCATATATTTATGGATTAGTTAAGGTCATTGTTAGCTTGATTTAATTTACTTCATAAGATTAACAGTTGCGATAACAGTTGCTAGCGTATCACGTTTATGAATTACACAATTTCGCAATTAAACTGTTGACCAACATTTCTTTTCCTTGGATCACTTTCGGGACAATGGTGGTTTGCAGATAAATCAGAAATAGTGTAGTCTGAGTACTGATCACATTCCTGATATCCTTTTCGTTTTTCCATACTTCGGAATGTTTCTTTTATTTAGTCGGTTTCGGATGAGAAAAAATGATAAAAGTCTCCTGTGTAGTGACTGATGCGATTCAGCTTCCAAATCTTCAATAACTGGAGTACGAATCTAACCTACAGTCTTACAGATGAAAGTCAAATATTTCAATCAGTGAACCATAGAATCACAAACTGTTGAAAATTCCTTTTATAAGTTTAGTAAGTGTAAGCATGTGGTTAGGGGTTCAATCCCCAGCTGACGCACTCCTTTACCTTGCTAAGCCGGTGATAACACCGGTAAGGAGGGGAAGTTGGTCATGACGCTAGCAACCACATCCTGTAAAAATGAACACCGTTACTACTAGAACTTCAAAATTCAAGCTGAAAGTGTAAGTTACTTGTTAAACCTATTTACTACTACTAAAGTCTTTCGGTTCGTTATGGAGTAGTGTATAGCAAAAGATGAAGTTCCCCAGTGAAATTGATATTGATTCTGTTAGACAATCATAAAATCAAGAGATTGTTTTCAGTATTTTGTCTCCAACCTTTCGTAAAAGTTGCTATGGTTCTCATTGTGTTTAAATAATTAGCTTCCGGAGAAAGACAAAAACATTTCTCAATACATTACTTAATTAATTCTCTCTATATTTTTTTCACCAGTGTTTTCAATATTTTTCTTTATAATTTCTCCAATTATGCATTGATTGTGAGCATTAAATTCACTTGGGGTATTAGTTAGTGTGTATGCCTATCTCATTGACATTAGAAAATGTGTCAAAACTTGCATCATTCAAATGCGATAAAGCTATTAAAAGTGCTGCAGAATCAAATATGAAAGCATAGTTTGAACTTTGAAATAGTTTTTCCCTTTGATAAACTTTAATATGAAGGTAGGTATTCAGAGATTATATTTTTGTAGAAAACACTACGAAATAATATCATCTTGCAGTATTCGTCTTTTTGAATGACAGTTTGGAATGTCTACCATAATCTAATACGTTCTGCATTCTGTACTTCTAAGCTTTAAATCAACTAAGTCTTACCATATAATGAAGTCTTCACCGTCCGTATAACTGAATTTCCTTGTAGAGAATATTTGACTTTATGGTACAGTGTTCCGTAGAATATCTTTTTCTATCCCCTAAGAGAAGTTGCAATGTTTTATTGTTGCATTTTGTTGCTTGTCAGATGAAATGATTGAAATTGTGGTCTAAGATGTTAGATGTTTTATTTAATAAGGTAAGTAATGTTGACGTTAAGCGTAGAGTGTTGGGCAAAGAGGGAAAATCAATCGACGAGGCTATAAAGTTACATAGACTAAGATGGCTAGGTCACGTGCTGCGCATGCCTAACCATCGCCTCTCCCGACGGGCATTATTAGCTGATATAGGTGCAGGTTAGAAAAGAGTAAATGGTGGCCAAACAAAAACATCGCATCAATCCATGAAATCCTTGACAGTTAAACTGAGTCAGGTAGGGAGATGCAGACTTCCGGGTTGGGGGCCTCGGGACTCTAGGAATCAATGGCTGGAGACAATAGGTGACATGGCTCAAAATCGTTGTCAATGGCGCAAATGTATTCAGTCTCTGTAATCTTTCATATTTCTTTCTACCATTGCCCATTCTGTTTCACTCTTATACTTGTCAAACTCTATTGATTCTCTTCACTCATCTTCTTGTCTACTTCTGTGTGCTATTTGGAACTGGTGGACTTCGGTGCGAAGTTCTATGTTGAATCCAGACAGACAGAGACAGATGTTTTATAATTTTTCATTACCATACACTATGCTTGACTTTCAAAATTCCCTTTGTCCTAATTTTTCAAAGATAATCACTTAATCAACATGATACTTAGTACTCAATTTATCATGTTTTGCCCAATTTGTATGCCATTCTACGCATGCTTTATCTCTCTTTTTTGAATGTAGAGACTTGGATATGAAGATAAGTTGTGGCGTGTCTTTGAAAATCCTAAACAACCTGATAAGAAAATTGTTTCAAATCATTTAGATAAACTTTTCAGCAGTATAAGACTACAAATGCAATTTCTAGTGAAAGTTTTATTGGGTAAACGGTGGAAAGCGATTCTAGATTCATTGGTTGAAGAACAGCGTACGCGGAAAAAACAAGAAGGTGCTTCAACTATTGATGAAGACGACCAAAGTGATACAGATGCTTGTAAGTGAATCGCGTAAAAATAATCTCCAACTTTTCTCACTACCTAGTTGTGCATTTTTTGTACAAGCAAATTGTGTTATAATTAAAATTAAAAAAATTATGTTGAAAACTTCATGCAATTCTTCCCATTAATAAACTTGAACAAAGCAAGAACAACAATTGTACCAGGATAATATGAACTCATCTTTTATTATTTCGAGGATTTTTCTCAACTGGTTACAACCTGAACGATAAAAAATATGAATTACATTAAAGATATGAACATACTTCTCCACGATCATAAGTAGTAATTGATGGGAATTAAAAGTAACATTAGTCCGGAATGATTTAACTGATTAGGAATTACAAACACTGACTATTTATAGAATAATTAGACATTTAGGCTAGGAAACAAAAAAACAGTTGCGTATATATGTGTGTGTACAGAAACAAGGTTTAGCTAGAAAGAGCATAACAAAAAAGTAGATTACATAACTAAAGAAAACGTCTTATCTAATAGCCAATAAAAAAAGGAAAGAAAAGAAACGAGGTAGGGTGAGTCATGTTTAGATGAGGGAATAGGATTTTCTAAACATGAAAAAGGGTGACTTATGAAAATTGTATATTTTTGTTATCACCAGGGCAGTGCAAGATTCACCACTGTCTCTTTCTCCGTACATGGATTTAGTTTAAGTCGTTTGATGGCAATTGTTTCAGCATAGTGTAGCAAGCTAGGTTTATTTGCTTGTTGATTATTTTGAACGACTTCAGGTTGTCTACAATATGACCAGTGTCCAATAGATGATGAGCAATCGCACTGTTTAATGCTTGCGAACCTTTCAGTCTCAGGTTCTTTGGTATGTGTTCATAAATGCGGACACTAACCCTTCTCTCTGTTCTTCTAATGTATGTGCTTTGGCACGTACATGTGAATTGGTAACCAGTTGAGAAGAATATTCGAAATAATAAAAGATGAGCTCATATTATTCTGGTACAATTGTTGTTCTTGCTTTGTTCAAAAATTATGTTGTTTATTGATATAAAGTTAAAAAAAATAATGTAGAAGTTGGGTGAACATCTTAAAATCACTCACATTTATCTTGTTTACAAGTAAAACGTGTTTAACTCTACACCTACTGCATAACTAAAATAGTTTCATTCTAACAGTATTTTTGTTTCTTAGACATGCAGTTATGTGACTTTGTTGTTGTCGCCTAACCATTAGGCTCTTAAATGATTGATTGAATGTTGTCATCCTTTCTACTGTATTAATTTCTTCAATACCTTATAGCCTAATTAAGTCAACATCTTGGCCACTGTAGTTGTATCATTATTCTAATTATAATTATAATTATGATGATTATGGTTATTTAACATTTAATCTAGAATTTATTAGATGGTTGGAGGCGATCGATGGAAAGCTTTGCAACTAGGTTTCATGCTTGCTGATGCTCGTCAGTAGGGCATATCTTCAGTTTCCTCAAGTTCACAGATATTTCCGTGCTATAGAGTGCCAACAGGCACGAAATCCAGGTCGAAGGCTTTCGGCCAATTGCCTCCAACCTTCTGATAACAATCATTCAGAGTGCAACGTGATGATGAGCCACCTAGCCATGATAGTCACATTGCAGAGTTGACTGGTAGAATTCAGTCTGTACCAAACGAAGGACTAGATGCTCACCACCTAGTATTCAATCAAAGAATCCAGAGTTTTTACAAATATATTGCAACTGGTATCGCATTTACTTATTTGACGTGATGTCCTAAACTGTTTTGTATACCAAATTACTGATACATTGTGAATAATAATAATAGTGAGGAAAATTAGTGGGTTCACATACAAGTTCTTGCATCAGGCTTAATTATGCATCTGTATTTCACAAAGTTTACTGATACTTTCTGATTTCACACAGTGGAAGGCAACTCATAATCGAATACTTAACCTAGTATGGTTTTACTTTACAGAATTAGTAAATAAAAGGATTGCTGTAAATGCAGGATAAGATTTACAGGTACTCAAAGATTATTTGTGTTTGTAGTAAGCTGTGTTGAAGGATTTCTATTCCTGTTTCATTCCTGATGCATATCAATTCAGTTGAATTACCAGTATCTTTTGTTTTGGGTATAATTTTTTTTACAGTTCCCTGCATCATATTGTTTGGCTTTTCAATATGGTGAATTATATTCATCTTGTCATCGGTTTTCTAGAAATTCCAAAAATACCTGTCAACTGATGCCCTGTTACTAAATCCTAGTTTGTGTGTATTCATATTACTTAGGATGAAAGCATTTAGTTCCGTATTGGTTGCATTGGATCGTGTCCTATTTGTTGACTTCGTTTCTTTCATCGATTGTGTTCCTCTTCTGTGCTGTTGCTACAGATGATAAGTAGTCAAACTGGGTCGTATATACTTCCACTGCCTACCTCATTCTCCTCACAGTTCAGATTTTTATATGGTTTCCTCTGCTATGGGAGTTTTTATCATTTCTATTTGATGATGGCTTAGTATTTAGTAAATAATGTAGTGAAGTAATTCTTTTCTATTCTAATTTCTCCTTTTTCAATTTACAGATGACACAAGCAGCTTCACTATTATCGGGAAGTATAAGAGCAAATGGAATAGAGCCAAAAAATTATTAGAAAAAGAAATCCAGGCTTATAGGAATTTGACAGCGGTTTCTTCCGCCGGTTCCTCAGCTGTTACATGTAGTGCAGTTACTACTGGTGCACCTGCTGTAGCTGTTTCAGGTACTTCTGTTACTCCGTTAATTGTTGGAGGCATGACTCAGCCACAGATGGATACAAACCACATCCCTCTTGGTGGGACTAATATTATGCCTCCTGGGCAGATTCTTCCAGGTCCTCAAAGTAAGATAAGCACCGAATCCATTGATATGCATTGTCAGAACTTAGAGGGTTCTAACCAGGTTTCTGTTCCAAATAGTGGTTTAACATCAATTGGTAAATTTACTGTCACGATCCCACCAAGCGCCACAGCCGCACCGGTCACTCCTAATATTCTTCCGCTGTTGTCTAATAATGGGTCAACACCAACCCCAACTCCAGCTTCAACACCGATACCACCACAGACTGCTGTAGCCCAAAAGACCTCAGAACCTCATGTCTCTGCGTACCCGAATAATTCATCTGTTCAACATCCATCATCTATTTCAATGAATACCGATGTAAACGCAGTTGCTAGACGACCAGTTCCTGACCACTGCACTACATGTAATACAACATACATTTCTTCACAGCCGTCTGTTGTTTCACTAGCTGGGGCTTCACAACAAGGAGTGAGTCAAAAGCAACCACTACAATTTCAGACACAACAATCTGCTCCTGTAATGAGTACACTTCAAAGTCAGGCAGGTGTTTTCATTCCTTCTCAGGCATCTGTAGGCAAGTCAGATGCTGAAGTTATTGCGGCGAATAATATGGATACGATAGCTCGTTCAGCCATGATACTTCAACAGGTGCTTCAGGGGATTACATCAACTTCAGTAGCCAATTCGTGTATTCCATCTTCAGAAACTGTCTTGGGTTCGCAAATGGTGAGTATATATATATATATATATATATATAATATTACAGTAGTGTTTTTAGGTCATATACTTAAAGCTACGATACAGTCGTGATTCATTAATAATTACGGTTTCTATTTTAGCAAACTGTTCAACAACCTGTGCCAGTATCTACTTCAGGAAATTGCATACTGGCGACCGGATTTCCCAGTCCTAACCAACAGATTATTGTAAATCAGCAACAGCAAATGATGTTTGCAGCTGCAGCTGCCATTGCAGAACAAGCAGTGACAGCGGCTACAACTGCAGCTGGTCAGCTATCATCCACCCCTTTATCACAAATTAGTAATTTGGCGCAGCAGAACTCTACGGGTTTAGGCTGCGCAACCAGCCATTTTAGTGGTCTACAGTCGAATGCAGTCTCATGTTGCACTGATCAAGTTAGTATGCTTTTTATCTATAATATTGCTTAATAGTTCAAATGGAGTGGATATAAACTCAGGTGGAATAAAAGCCAAGTACTCTGAAAGTAGTAGCCTCACTCAATTGGAATCCACAGTACTTGTAAATCTAAGGCTTTTGTATATCAAGATTTTAGATTAGTCGGTTTGTCTGCTATTTTGACTTGGGTAATGCTTCAGCATCACATAGTTTTAAACTCCTTCCGTCTTTTGTTTGTATAGTCTACACAGTGTTCATACCCATAGTATTACTAGTAGGTGACTGTACCGAAAATCTCAGTGATGTAAAACGCTGCGATTTTGTCAAAGTTAAGATCATTTGTTTTGTATGGCAGGACGTGATTCGAAGTTTTGATTTGAGGACGGGCTCAAACTGTATATATATATATATATATATATATATATATAAGGCTCTTTAGGTTTTTACCTGTCAATCTTGTGGCACTTGTCAGTATCGACCAGCTTGATTTTTCTCTCATTCATGGGCACGTGATCACTGTGCATACATGACATAATTTAATATGCATGAAAAATGAAACTTAAAAAATAAGTTCGGTATATTCGTTTACTTTATGTATAAAGTAAACAGTTTTTAAATGTTTGTCTTTGTTTTCATCTGGCTATGGTTACTGTAACCTATACACATACGTCTTGTTGTTTACGTTGCGTATTTTAAGGAGGGGGTGAATCAAGGTCAATTGGTCAACACTGGTTTCATGGTTCCACTTCTTAGTGATAGTCATTCAACAATGCCACAATTACAACAGCCTACAATACAGTACAATCAACAGTTTCCATCACAGGTTTCAGCAATGAACGTAAACGATAATACTGTTTCAAGTATGCCGTCTATGACTCCTGGTTTAGGGGTTATCGGTCAGAATACTTCTGCGGCTCAAAGTGAGTTTTAATTGTGATATATATAGTTATCATTGAATACATTGAATACGCAGTTTCTTTCTATTTCCTTGCCACTTTTATCCATTTGATAAACTGTACAATTAAGATGAATAATATAAGGAAGGATTTGGTATCAGTCTACTTTCTTTGCCGTCCAAACACAGGTATGATGCGTTTGCCCATCTTTTTGTATAAAGAGCGAATGTCGAACTAATCAGCAAAACGTGCAACGTATAGTCTAAATATTAAAAAAGTGATTTGCCATTAGTGGGTATGAATTACATACTTCGATTTGTATTGGCCTTATGAAAGTTTGTGTGGCTACTGTAGCAGTTTTAAGAGTAATCGACTGTAATACTATTCTGTATTATATGTACAATAAAATAGAACAGAATCCCATTTCATTGTCAAAGTTCTGTTTCCGTATTCTCTTTTCCTCAGCAATCTAGTTACTGTGTTTGTCGCTTTTAGAGCGCCGATCTTCATACTAGCCTCCTACAACATGCACTTACTGATTGCTTATTAGATGTTTTTTCCACTTACTACCTTACTTTTGCTTTGTCTAGGGAAATAATAGAGAGACTTGATATTGTTAGTAATACGACTGTGTGTTCAACACCAATAGTTCTAGTTTGAATTTACATGAAATCTCAACTTTTTCCCCAAGGGTAGTTAAACACATTGTATCTTCTTATGTGTCTGCATGCATGCTGCTACCCAGGTTAATTTGACAAATATCCGACTACTCCTTTTTTTTATCCCAGTGTAGTTTATTTATCTTATTGTCTGTCTATCTATCACTGTCCTGACGTACCTACGGGTGCTTTTTTCCCAGATTTTAATGCATATATAAATTTGTCCGTGTACCTATAGGTGCTAATGATCAACGTGATAATAAATGCATAATTGCTTTTTTGAAATAACATTACAGCGAAAATGATTTGCTAGAATAATAATGTGTTAATCTATGCAAGATCGAGATGATTACAAGTAGGGAGTTATTTCTGAAATATGGTATCTATTTAGGTTTATGAACAGTTCCTTTGTTTAGTATTGGAGGAATGAAATAGGCGCCTGTATTTAACATTTGGAAAATAAGTTTCAAAAATAGTTTCTAGCTATAAAATAGCTTGACTCTTTATATGTAACTCTTTTTTTGAAAAAGCCGTCAAGATCGATCATTGAGAGAAAAATTAGTTATTTTGTATTACCTGAGAGTGTTCACCGTCTACCGAGTATAGTCATAAGAATATAAATAAAGGTTTTGTGCTTATACTGTCAGTCAAATATATATTGTATGGAAATGTGGCATATTGACTTAGGCACTCGACTTTCAAACAATGGGTCCCGGTTCGAGTCCCACTCCACCTACTTTAACCTGGTTAACTAAACTAAAACACATATATTGTAATGGTAAAAGTACGATTGTTTAGCGCATATCAGCAAACAGCTGAACAGTTAATATGACAGTTAATCAATGTACTTCTATGCTATTTCTTCACTTAGATTGGTTAGCATGTTAATACACTTTGTTGAAGTCTCTTCCGTACATATTTTGATATTCCTGCTTCTTTATTATCTCGCCTAATAGGGCTTTATTTATACTGTTCTACGCTGATAAAGTTACTGGTCAAATCTTGTAGCATCTATCTACTTGATTAATCCCACTCCCTGTGTTCTTTATCGTATTGATGTGAACTTCGTGGACGCCTTTCTACTTTGGCCAAATTGATTTTAATTGCAAATGTTTATTTTTAATTTCGTAGTTTTCTGTTAGCATTTTTACGCTAAGAGTAATCAGACTTTTTAAGACTTAGACGTCCATTGATTGCACAACATCATTTAATTTAGACCTTAAATTGTAATGCATGCAGTTATATACTGAAATCCCAGTTCCTGCCTCCTAAAAAAACAGGAAACCACTGGAGACATCTTAGACCAATAAATATTTGTTGAAAATGCTAGGAGGTTACGCAACAACTCGTATAAGAGTATAGTCTGAATAATTTTTGTAAGATCCTCCTAGAAAATGGAAATTTAGTCATTTGTTAATAGGTAAACGGAGCTCCTGTGTTTGTGCCTACCTAATCATATATTATAAAGCTTCGATCATTTTACTGCTTTTTCAGTTTTCTGAGGATCATGTGACTCTGGTCATAAATAGAACTGAGTGATTGAAATGCAAGTGAAAAAACTAAGGAATCACTCTACTTTTAGCACATTGTTTACTAATGATCATATCTAAACTGTTCGTCAATTAACAGCTGTGCAATCCGAATTCGCTGTTGAGAATGATCTGTTCGAATTTCGGAACACCTTAAGATGCATATTTTTGAGGGAAAGAAGTTAATTTGTCTTGTGTTAGTCTGTAGTATACATGAATTGAAAGCATGTATTACTCAGTAACCACATGGACACATCATTGAGGAATTCACCAGTTAGCTACGCCAACAGCGTTAAGGTTAGCTAATTCAAACCTCACTATGTGTGGATCTTTTCATAAATGAGATCTCGTATGTATATGTTTCTTTAAGGCAATCAAGAAGGTGGTCTGTTTTGCTTTTCCTACAGATAAAATACTTTTATGCACGTACACTTTTATTCTTCACTAACATTCTTTTCATCCTTTCTCTTTCTTGGGGAAATGGACATTGTAGAGTTTATATTTCCTGGTCAATCGATAATTATTTTCTTTTATTGTCTTTTAATTTATAAGATTTCTTTTATTCAATTTTAATCACTTGATTTTTTTTGTCTTTGCTACTAGTTATTGAACTGTAAAATCTACTTTTCCCTCCTTTTTAACCTTGCATGCTTTGAATTTTCTTGTTTCATATATATATATATATATATATAGCTATTCTGTTTTTTTATTGATTTAATTTTCGATCAGGTTTTACGTTCATCCCTTTTAGTTAGAAATATTCTACATTGTATTGTGTAATAGTGTGTGATGGATGTATCCTCTGTATCTTTGATATTCTTTTTTTATCTTCACATAAATATGGACTTTTTTCTTTCTTTTCAGTCACAGTTACCTTGATTATTATTGCATGTGTTGACGTTGTTGTGACTGTCTTATGACTATGCAATTTCATGTTTTGTTTCTTTTTTGAAATGTGTAATAATTATACATTTTGATAAAAGATGTTTGACAAACTGAACGGATGCACTTTTATGCATAGTATCATATATTTCTGCCTATCTTCAACTAATCTGCATAGATTGATCTTATTTATGTTTTGGTTCAATGACATAAAAAGTAAATAACAACGACAATTTTTTTTGTGGTTTATTTTGAAAGAAACCATTGAGAAATGCCTTCATATTGTATTCCTCATTGGATTCTAACTGATCATATGTACCAGGAGACTGACGGCATTACTCAGACTTACATTTTTTTTCTAGATTCGTTTCGTGATTGTTATATCTTATGACTATTGACAAACATACAGGCAATCACATAACATTTATTATTGGTGTGAATAATGGTCGGAATTATCAAACATATATGTGTCTGTATATTAAGAAGGTCAAAGAAAGCGATAGAAAAAGGTGGGAATATGTGATTGGAGATGTTATTGGGTGTTATAAAACAAACGGAAGGGTAAAGCCACTAAAATAAAACAAAATATCGTATTAGAGGTGAATAAAGAGCATGATTACCATTCAGATTGATTCTCACCTATGCTGCGGTTATGTAAACCTCAGTTAGACAACCTTTGTATTTTCTTTTGATTGTTATTTTTCTTCTAAGCAGTTGTTTTAACAGTAGCATGTATTCAAAGTAAGATTTGCTGCACGTTCAGTGCGTTAGGAGTGCTTTTTTGCAGGTATATTCCGTTAAGTGGTCAGTGAAGAAGTCCATCCTTATAGCTGTGGTGCTTATCACTATAGGTCTCTTCGGTGGTAGATTTTGGCATTGAGAAACGTAAGGTTTTAGGAATGCCATAAGTAAAAGTCTGAGTGTATTTTCTAATCCAAGGTGGTGTTACAACTGGTAGTTTACATTAGTTCGTGAAGTTTTATCAACCTTATTGGAGTGATTAGTGACAAAATCTTACGTGATCTATAGATACCCGTCTGACATTTGTGTTATCGATGGTACCTGCAAGATATCGTGTTACCTCTCAGAGGGCGAGCGTACTATGCATCAATGAATTGTGACCACGTAAAGTAGAATGTTATACAGGTTTCTGATCATATTTCGCTGCTCACTTCAAATTGGACCACACGATAAGTAGTGTTGGAATTAAGTGTATTATTATTATTACTGTTGTTCCCTTGGGTTCCAAGTGGAACCTAGGGATTCAACAGCACATCTCAGTTTTTATCCTGTTCTCTGCCATCCTCTTTAGATGACCGCATAATGTCCCATAGCCTCTCATCTCTTCCTCACACGATCTTCCCCATGTCACCCCCGGGCGCGCCACTAGTCTGTTTTGTGTCTGTTAGTACTACTCAATCGTCTGGCTTATAGGCGATGAAATGGTATTCGGACCTAGTGCCCAGTAGTTTGTAGTCAAGTGCTAAATCCAATGAGCCACATTACCAGCGTATATTTAACTGTTTGTGTATGTTTATCTGGCTACTTTCACAACTACTGTTCATTCCTTTGTAGCAGTTTTAAAAAAAATTTTGTGTATTGGAAATAACTTCACATTTCACTTAGATATATATACACTTTTATGTTTTCGTTTATAGACGAAGGTTTTGTTCAACCTGAATCTGATATTCACCCAAAGACTGATGTAAGCAAATGTTTTCACTTGATTTTTTTTTAATATTTTAACTGTATTCATGAGTAAAATATCAATCAAATAAGCGTGACTATTATCTGATTTTTTACTTACTTGTTGTAATGACTAGTTGTATATATATATATATACATATATATATATATATATATATATATATGTCATATTGCTGCACTAAGTATTCAGTGTGATTTTAAGTCTACTTTTTGTCTTTTTTTGAAAAATATGTTCGCATAGCAATCTCAATTACTGATTAATTCAGAGCATGTTTCGCTCATAAATCAATTAACTGAAGTTCTTATGAATAATGCAGCTCAAGGACTTCTTCTAGGCGGAAATAATTACATGCTGAATTCACAGCCAACTCAGCAAACACTGCCAAATAGTCAGCCATCACTGTCACAACTTCCATCAAGACAAGTTTCTCTACAACACCAGCAACAGCAACCGCCGCAGCAGCAACAGCAGCAAAATCAGCCTAGGAATACAGCTCCAAACTTTAAAGTGAGTAGAAAATATTTATATCATTTATTCATTAAAATTATAACACTTTTCTGATTGGACACTAGTGAGTAACTAATGTCCAATCAAGCTATTTATTACAATCCTACTGGAGGTCATTCAGGAACCCGAATAGCTCATTGGTAACTTCGTCGACTGCAACACTGTGTGACCCTCCAGGTTGAGATCTTAGAAGGGACATGAGTTTATTCAAGATTTCAGTTACGCCTGGCTATCTGGTGGGTGGTAACAAGCACGAATCCAAGACTGAAGGCTTCCTGTTGATCCCCTCAAAACATCTAACAATTGTAGCAATTGTTAGTTAGAAGGAAATTGGTCTTCGTCTCCGATTGCTTGGTTTCACTTTATTGTTGACGATTAGTGAAGGAATGGAGGCACTAAGGGCTAATTGGATTTCTCCCGAGGTTACAACACACTTTGTTCAATGAAACGGTTTAAGATTGCTTCTCTCAGACAAACACTTATGCCATATGCCATATTATTCACAGTGTGTAACATCCTGTGCTATAAAAGTATATAAGTATAGTTGCACTGTCCATTATTCATGTTGTCTTCCTAATAAACATATTTACTAATATTATGCGAAGACCGAAATGTAGAGGAACCGTTTCATTTGGTGGAATATTTATCGACTTCTGAAGGTCATATGGTAATCAGATCCTCTGAGTTGCTATTTTAAGTGTTTACTTTAACGGTATGTACACTAATTTGCTTTAATTTTTGGATTGAACCGGCATATTGTCTTTTTGTTAAATAGCCTACTTCTGACCTTATTTGTCTCGATAATAAAAATGGCGGTTAGATTCTCTATAATTACGATCGAAAGATTTATAGGCTGGAAGCGTAAATGATTTCTACGAATCTGTGACAAAGAGATCATAAGTTTGTTGGATTCTTAACTTGTAACACTAATTTTAATACACTTAGTGTGCAGGATCTGGTGGCGATCTCACTTTTGTTAATACCGCTTTATTGTCGTCTCAGAAATAAAAACGAAGCATCTGTCCATTAGTTTTATCAGTGCTTCTGTTATTGGCATTGACTGTTGATTAGAACTAATTCTAAAGTTTATTTTCTTATACGTTCGATTTTTCAACTGCTTTTGGCCTACTGTTTCTGTAAGAGCATTAATTATTTTTTACCAAGTTTTTGCCTGAAAAACACAAAATATATATGTTATTTTATAAATTCCTTGTGTAGGTTACTAATAAAACAGTAGTGTTGTAATTCATGCTCCGGTTAGAATATTATTCTGTTGAATTGAAGAGTAAAACTAATTTACGTTTAAATAGTAAACATATTTCTCGTTAATTGGCAAAAGCAACCTTCATCTTTATCTTGACTATTTCCAGTGAAGAACTATTCAAACCTTGGTTTTGAGAGAGCTTTGTTGCCTGGATGAAATTTTCTATGCCTCTGACCATGAACCACATTTATTCACTGTCGGACGATGATATTATTCACTTGCCCAAGATGATGCAAGCGTGAAGGCTTTTCGAATCTCGGGCATATTGGCGAAAAGTTGAGTACTTAAGCCAATGAGCCACATAGAAAATTGATGTTAACAAGCCTCTATTTGAATTTATGAGACCTACTAACTGCAGCTAATGATATGCATATCTTTAAGACTATTTTACTATGTTTTCAAACTAGTTAGAGTAGCGTCACCACTATATATTTTTCAGTGATACAAACATCTTTTACATCATGAGTTAGAATGCTATTATTTACATATGATGTATAGATTACAAATGACGTCAGGTTATGTATGTGTGTGTGCGTGTAGATTTTCTTCTATTGTAATAGTATGTGTATATGTCCTAGTAAATCGTACTCGGCACAATCAAGATGTATGTTTTAGGGAACCTTCTAACAATTATGTAATTGAATTCTAGATTTTCCTGTCGATTGATTGAACCGAAGTGTTCGGTCTCAGGTTGACATGTTGACGTCTTGTGCAGATGCTTCGACCTTCTAAGAATGTGTTATTGTTTCTTATTTTTGACAAAAACATCTGTACACATATATGCATGGACAGGTTGGGTTATTTAGATGGTAATTTAATACTCATGCATGTGTTGTACTGCTTATGTACGTAATGCTCACCCACTTACTTTCACCCTTAAACACATGAATTTGAGAACGCGTACTTTATTACGGTTACCATACTCAATTAATAATAGAAATTTAGCTATCCGTTTGAAATATGAACAATTCATGAAGCAGCAGTTTTCAGATTTAAAATTTCACCTACTTTTCTTTATACTTTGCTCTCAATTCATGTTCATCTAACTACGCGTATAGCGTGCAAGTTAAGTAGACTAAATCATTGTTTGGAAATGCTTAGAAATTCAATTGTCAATCATTTTTATCAAAAATTTCATTACAAGTTCTTACTGTTGTGTTTAAAAGAATATTTTCCCGTACAGAAACCTGTAGTAGATTCTTAATTTACAAACGACAAGAAGATACATCAAAAGTATGTTACCACTTATCTTTGTTTTAGAAAAGTCAAGCTACTGACTGAACTAATTCTATGGTTTTCTTCATTCCCGTAGACTATTTCTATGTTTCCCTGTCTATCTATGGAATTAAAAACCTTGACATGGAGCTTTGCATAGTTTCCGCGTTCTTTTTGATATCTACAATGCCTACCTACCCTTTTAAGATCATCTCTATACGACATTTTCTAAAACGTTTTAAAATCGTGGTTTTTTTTGTTGATGCTATTAATTCGTATGTCATTAGCTCCATTTTCCTTATCTCGACGTTTTTGAGTGATATAAATGATTAAATCATTAACTGCCAAAACTGTTAAGACTTGTTGTCTACTGATTTCATGGAAGAGATCGGTAGGACTTTTGTCTAAAAAAGAGATTGAAAACACCAGTGGTTTTGTGTAGGCTCATCAGCCTTTGTTTGATGCAGTCAGTCCGTTGCCTTTGTGCACTTTAGAATGTATTCTGTTCATCCTTTAAAAGAAATATGACAGAACAGCATGAATTGTGTGTGTGTGTGTGTACTCGTCATCTTTCTTTAATGTACCGGTTGAATTTTTACAACTTCAAATAATCTAGAGATGTTCTTTGCATTTTCTTCAGAATTGTGATTATGGTTTAATTTTACTGGCTCGTACATCTTTTGCCGTATCCAGTACTTATATATATATATATATATATATATATATACATATGCTAGAAATTTAGTTTTCATTATAGGTCTTATAACTAGCTTTAATTAGTAGTATAGTTAGGCAACCTGTACCAGATAATGGCATTAAGCGGGTGGATCATGGTAATTGTAAGTGTTCAGTCAATTAGGTAGTAGTATATTGAATTCATTTTTCAAACTAGTTTGCTAGCACTGGTACTCTTCGGCTACTGTCAGTTAGATATTTGTACGACACTTGCGTAAAGTTCATATTGATTGTGAGAATTGAGTATGTGCATAACAAATGTTTATGACCTGCTAGGTAAGGAGGGGAAATCAATCGACGAGGCTGGGAAATTACATCGACTGAGATAATCAGGACATGTGTTGCGCATGCCCAGTCATCGCCTTCCTTGACAATGGGCAATGATAGTTGACAGGGTCAGGCTGGAAAAAGAGCTAGCGGCGGTCAAACCAAAACATGGCACCAGTCAATGAAATCCACAACAGTTAGTTTAAGCCACGTAGGAAGGTAGACTTCCTGGTTGGGGGCCTCGGGATGGTAAAAATCAGTGGCTAGAAACAATTGGTGACATGACTCAAAATCGTTTTCAATGGCCAATGCAGATGCATCCACTCCTTGTGACTTATGATTTCCAATGAAACTATATTGTTCTTCATTATTACTATTCCTTTTGTCTCACACCTCTGTTTACTGTCTCTATTATGCATTTCTTGTACTTTCTTCTGTTGCTTTGTGTGCTACAAGGAGGGAGTGTGGCGACTTGAAGTGTTGCACATCGGTGCAAAGGTCTATTTCGAAAACAGACATACCGTAGAACTTATTAATGATGTGAGCAGATCGATCTCTTAACATTACTTCTCAAGTATACAGTTCTGATCATCAATAATTTTAATTTACTGGTAATTGTTTTTTCAATATTTGTTTTGAAAAATTTCGCATCATTTTTTCCCACCAGTGAGGGAATTTTTGATTTCGAAGTCAAATTTAATGCAATTGCAAAGTTAATAACTAAATTAGAAGTCACAGTTGGAATTTTTGACAGAATCAGTTTGTCACACTTGACATCACAAGCTAACTTGAACAGAATTAAGATAGTAATGAAGTGAACAGGCATAAAAGTGTGAAAAGAGATAGAATAATTAGATGAAGACTAATGAATGTGTACAAATTTTTAAAAATGTTGACAGGTGAACAAATCTGCATCATTGTGAAGGATTTCGAATCATGGCCACCAACCGCCTCTAATCATCATTACTTAAAATCCAGAAAAGAAACTAATCAAAGTGACCTACTTCTCCCTATATAGTCTGAACTAAAAATCAGTGATTTTATCGACTGATGGTATGTTGAATCTAATCATCCATAAGCCTCTTTGAGAAGAACTGTGACTCAACATGTGCAACACCTATCCTGGCTGCCTTAATTACTGGAAATTGGTTGCTCCATCGATTCGATATATATATTTGTCACTCGGCATCCGATGTTCAGTTCGCGCGTTACTCTTGCCATGTGATTTTAATCTGTATGAGTTATCGTTTGTAAAGGTAGTAGTACCCGAGAAATTCCAACTTTTTCAACTGTAGTGTCACACAGTCTTTAATTAAGTCGAAGTTATCTATTGGTTCAACCTATTACACTGTAAAAGACGTCACTTGTTTTCTTCTAAAATTCAAGTCCACACTTATAATTCTCTATGTTAACATCTTTTTGGTCCAGCTACAAAGCGTGATATTAAGAACAGCTGCAGGTTTTCTCCTCAGAATTCTACTTGATTTTTTCGTCCGGTATGCAATGTAGTCAATTTAGGTAATTCAAACAATGCAACCTGTTGCCAGTTTTCCGCATTTTGTAATAGAATGTAAAGTTAAATTTAATCAGAGTAACGTGTCTTATGAAATTTATTTACCGTTAATAAGTGACAGAAATAACCAACATAGTGCAGACTCATTAACAGCTATCTTCTGTTGATACTGAAGATCCGATGGCTGGTCAGAAAGAATAAGCAGCATGGAACTTTGAGAGCAGAACAATCAAGAATCTTTTACCCAACAGCATGCGAAGTGTCATCATGCTCCAGGCTTTCGAGTGGAACCCGAGGGTGAAACGGCGAGTTGAGCGTCCGAAAGCAACATAATGGAGATGGTGTGAGGGGGAGGAGGAGATGAGAGCTTACGGTCAGTCGTGCAGCCGGTTAAAGAGAACTTCAGAGAACAGGATTAAATTGAGATGTGCTGTTAAATTCCTAGATTCCACTCGAAACCCACGGGAATAATAATATTACTACAAGTTTCTATCTATTCAAATTTCATCCAAATGACCCTTAAAACAAACTAATTCGTCCTTATAAAAGTACTTTTGGATTTAAACAATAGTTTATTTTGTTTTATTTTTTAAATACATAGTTCACCTTTTCATTTCTCCATATTAATTACTATTACACAAATGACTAACTGTATTATGCATATATTTTACTGGTCATGTGCTTATGACAATGTGTTTAAAATACATAATGAATATTTTACTCGCCTCATCAGTAACATTAATTTAGTTGGATAAGTCACCGCCGCAATAATGCATTTCTAGCTAGTCATGTCAGTCTTCATGAGTCTACAATGTATCGATTTGCATTTCATCTTTACTTGACAGTATTAATTTTTTGTAAATATGTGTGAAAGAGGTGTAACGTATACCCATCAGAATTTGTGTGTAGACTACACGTAGCTGTATGCATTTCTCCCTCCATTTTGTAATAATAATGATAATTATGATATTAACTTCTTGCTATAGTTTGGTTTGTAAGGATTAGTTATGTTTGATGAATTTCCATTCCCTTTTTCTCCTTAGCCTATTGAACGAAGAACAAGGAAAAAAGTGAAATCAAAACCTAGATATGTTTTACGTGTTACTAAAATTGAAAGGGATTTTGAAGGCTGTGAACCTGATAATTTACGACCAACATTCTATTTAGAGATGCCAGATTTGAATAATCCAAACAATGAATTATGGAAGATCACTTTTCGCTGTAATTTATCTGATACACCAGAAGATATAAAGCTGGTATGCATTAGCTATTATTTTACTATTTTAATTCATTTTTAATTGTAACACTAGAATAAATGGTATATGATCCATTTATATCATTAATATATATATATATATATATATATATATATATATATATATATATATATATATATAGCACAGAGTTTGATATATTTCTAAACTTATGTACTAATCGTTGCCACGTTCAACTTACCCGGCATCCAACACCTCCCTGAATGGGATATAGACTACTTACTTTACTTCGGCTATCTCCTACGGGAGGATGAGCCGGCTTCATGAACATCTCGAATCACCGCTGCCCAGGTGCGGCGATCTGATGCAAGGTTTTGCGACAGGGTTATCCAATTCTTGTTCCACAGACGGAGTCCGTAGACGGTTTGTAGCCCCAGGCACTTCATATCAGCCTTGACTGTACCAAGCCATGTTTTCAGCTGTCCACCCCTGAGACATCGCCAAGATGGAAATGGAAATGGCGAGGGATTTAGAACTGATTTGACCAGATCGTCATCTGTTGGGCTCAGAACATGGCCAAACCACCGAAGGCGACGTTGTTGGACCAGTACTGGAATTTGGTTGGTGTTGTAGAGAGTTCACGAAGTTTCATGGGAATTAGGTACGAGTGATTTCCCCAGCATCCCTCGGCCTTTTGTTTGAGAGTTCAGTTCTAGCCTTTACACAACCAAGTGTGACCTACAAGGCAGTAGGAGTGGAGTAGGGAGTCCACTATCCATTGGCAGCAGGTGACCGGAGTCCGGTTCATACGCCTTTTTGAATGGGGCCAGACATTCAGGGCATCCAATAAGCCCTTTGTCCATACGTCTGCCGGTGAGCTCCGGTGAGCTTCATACGCCAGTCGTTGGAGGTTTGGAATCAGGGTTTAGCCATCTCCCCTAGACTGTCATCCAATGGACAGTCAACCCGGTGAAGAGCGCCGGGCATCCGCTTTTGCCCTCTCACTTCGGTGAAAAAAACCTCCGCCACGTGAAGGCAGTGAGTAGGACTTCCTCAGGAGAGGCTATGTAAGACGCCTGGTCTTATGGGATAAATTGTGCGTCATCAGTAAACATTACTGTATAACACTGTGAGACTTTATCAAAACAAAATTTACCCATAATGGAATTACACTCTACCACAGTGCACAAGTTTTATTCTTATAGCATTTCAAGAGGTGTATGGAGGGGTGGCCAACTCGCAGCGCAAGGCACCCATCCCCGACCATCCTGAGGGTTTGGAGGCCATGGGATATAGACATAAGTCTTCCGTCCCTAAATGAGGTTACAGAAGCTGTCACTAGTCTGAAACGAGGCGAAGCTGCGGTACCTGATGGAATGACTACAGAGGTGTTTAAGGACGATTGAGACAGTTTACTATCTGCGTTAACTAAGGCACTAGGCAGCGTCTGGGAATCAGCGGAAGTCCTGTTTGGTTGATGTAAGCCATTGATTATCTTGATATACAAGAGGGGAGATAAGTCTTCCTGTGATAATCACAGGGGGATTAACTTGACCAATATGGTACCTAAAGTTCTAGGTTCAATAATCATTTATAGGCTAAACGGTGCTCGGGAGAAACAAACACTAGAGAACTAGACAGGCTTTAGACCAGGAAGAGGGTGTATCGATCATATCTTCAACCTTTGACAGATTCTGGAACATAGGCGTCCAACAATCGTTATATTTCTTGACCTGAAAGTGGCATTCGATTCTGTCGACTGAGAGGTACTATGGTGACGTTTGGTTGCGAAGTAAATGCCGAGAAAATGCATCTCACTGCTCAAGGCACTGCACTCGAAATCATGCGGCCAGATGTGTGCCTACGGAGAGTCGTCACGTGAAGTGATGACAACCAGGGATGCTTACTGTCCCCACTTCTGTTTGATTTCGTCATAAATGTCGTAATATTGGACTTAACCCTAACTGACTTCAGCGACTCAAGGATTGACTTGTTGCCACCAGGAAATAAACTCGTTGACTTAGAATATGTGGATGATATAGTCCTTCTAGATGAAGATGCTAACGAAATGCAGTCTTTTCAACACCTTGATCAGCAATCTTCGAATGTTTGGCATGCGATTCACTCTTGCTGTCAAATGTAAGATGATGCTACAGGACTGGACTACATCGACTGATTCGTAGTTTACAGATAGGGAGTGTAGTGGTAGGGCGTGTTGACCACTTCACTTATTTTGGAAGTTGCATCAGCCAACGCCAGCGGGTTGATCGCCGATGAAATCTCTGCACGGCTCGTTTGGTATATTCCAACTCACTCCATCTCTGGTGTAAACGTGATATCCGGCTGGCTGTCAACCAAAGGGCGTGTATACTGCTCAGCAGTTGGCTCTGTCCTCCTTTATGGCTGTGAGACATAGATATTGAAAGTGGAAGATACGAAAAGCTTAGCTGTTTTTGATCATAAGTGTCTGCGTTATATCACGCATGTTAAGTGGTTTAATAGGGTGAGGAATATTGAGGTCGGGCATCGGTCGATGTTAGGTGAGGAGGAGAGGGTATCAATCGACGAGGTTGTGAAGTTACATGGATTGAGACGGTTGGGACATGTGTTACGCATGCCATGCCTAGCCATCGCCTCCCTTACCGCAAAATGTTAGCTGATATGGGATCAGGTTGGAAAATAGCTAGCGATTGTCAAACCAAAATGTAGCTTCATCTGTCTATAAAATCCATAACAGTTAGTTTAAGCCAGCTACGTAGGGAGCTATAGACTTCCTATTTGTGATCCTCGGGATGCTAAAAACCAATGAAGACAGGGCACAATCGCTGATATGGTTCAGAATCGTTCTCAATGGCTGGCGCAGATGCATTCACTCTTTGTGATGTATAGGATCCAATAAAATTCTATTGTTCTTCCATATTACGGTTTGTTTTTGCTTCACAGTTCCGTGCATTATCTCTCTTTTGAATCTCCTTTTACTCTCTTCTCTTGCTTTGTGTACTACGTGGTGTGTGGCAACTTAAACTGCTGCACTTCTGTGCAAATTTTTACGTAGAAACTAGTCAGTCAGTCACTAGTTGCTCAGTTATAGTGTGTTATTAATATCTTGAGGGTATTGTGGCTTTATTAAGTATTTAGCATCATAACTGGAAACAAGGTGTTGCTAGTGTGACAGAAATCCTTGATCTCCATCAGACGAAATGTGATTAAAGTAAAACAATTTTTCTTTCAACTTTTTTTATTAAAGCTTCATAAGCGCTAAGTATTCTCCTCAGAATGGTCTCGTGAGTGCCAACAAGATACGAAGTCCCATTGACACCTGCTCAATTCTTCGGTAAGAAGGATACGAACAAATGAAGCAATTTCGATACCTTATCTGGAGTTATATATAGACCAAATCTACATTCTTCATTAGATTCTGAACAAAGTTTCACTTACAGCTAGCCTAAAGCTAATCATTTTCCAAACCCTGAATTAGTAGATATCGAGATTTGGGTAGCAGTTAGTTTTCTATTAGCTTATCTAACAGTCAATGACTGATAATTGTATTTATATTCTGCTATTACTTGATATATTTAGACAACAATATATTTCAACTTATTTTTGGTAATTTAAGTCTAAATCAGCTTGTCTTGACTGATTTAAATGTCTATATTCATATAATGTGTATTCATGTAAAAATCGTCGACATTTCTAAGTGATAGATATGAGTAAATTTTTTTGTTGTTGACTTGATTGATGGATGGTTTACGTTTCACTACTCATCTTTCTGTAGTTTCAAGGATCTGGGTATACTCCAGCTAATGAGGATATCGATCGTGCAGCTAAAGAAGCAGTTATGACTCTACTAGAAGCTTTACGTAATGATGTCAATTCAGTGAAACTGAACCAAGATTATGTTTTTTATCCTCGACCATCGACCGCTGGAGTTGATCAGACATCAATTTCACACTTACCTGGTTTACCTAATACGTTGAATAACACTTCTGTAGTTCAATGTAATGCACCTGTTAACTCTGCGTTTACTGGTACATTTGGTGCTGGCGGTGTTGCCGTACAGAATACTAATACTGGTTTAACTTATCCATCAGCTGCTGCTACACATGATGGCTCAGCTTTCATGTCTCATTTTGAAGAGATTCAACCATTGGACTCTAAAAGTTAGTTGGTTTATTGTCTTACTCTTTTTTCTCTATTCATTTCCATTATCTATAATCTTAAAGTTCGAGTTTTATCAGTAGTTCTTCTTTTTCATGATTGCATTCTGTAAAAATAACTCACTGTAAACCGTTTATTACTACCATCGGTAGTCATATATTTTCAAAAGAATGGGTACTGAACAGACAGTACTCTTTTCCATAACTTCATCAACAGGCTCTACATTTATACATACATTATAGTGAATGAATGAATAAATAAATTAGTGTTATTAACAACATTAGTGTTGTTTAAATAACGTCGAATCACTAATATTGATAGATTACAGCTCAATATCATCAACATAACAATAAACTGAATGTCAGAAAAATTAGGAAAGATAATATTACAAATTCGTGAATTTATAGTATCTACTGAAGACCAAGGCAGTAGTAGGGACTGGACTTGCTTCTTATTCACACAGATCACTGGTTGTTTGAGGCGAATCGCAATAGCCTCTTCTGTTTGTAGCATTTGGTGCTTCGATGACTTTGGCAATTTATTAGGCACCCAGTAGATTATAGAGAAGGATTCTTCCACACTGACTTTGTGGCTGGTTTGTACCAAATGGTCCAATTTCGAACTGTTAATGGTTTTAACTACACCTTTACTTAGGCATAGTGGGAGATGTTCGCGGGTAGGGAAAGTCAAGTTCCTAGAGCAATGGCCAATATAACTCCATCATCAGCGCAGTTGAATTGGTAGATCCAATATGAAGTGGCTAGTCTAGGTACTTCATCTTTCAGTCGAGGTAGCACCATCGGTCATGTAGAGAATAATACGTGTAGTTCGCCAGCATTAAAGTCGTATATTTGTAAAAAATAAGACCGATTCAATTTCATCTTTCGTATGTGTATGTCTTACAGCTTTAAGCATCATCAATCTTACTGCGGTCATATTTTCGATAATAATGTAAGGGATACTCTATCTGTAGTTTAAAAAAAACTATTCCCTTAAAAGTGAATTAGTCCTGCAGATTACTTTGCATATTATATGTAGCATATGGAATGCCATGAGCTGTATAGAAATAATACAATCGATCCTGAAAGTGTTTGTAGTTGTCCGAATTAGTGTTAAAATTTTTAATTGCTTGGAATAAAATAGTGTAGGGTGTATATATATATATATATATATATGCATAGTACCGTGCTGAAAGTGGTGTGTTAGTGATATGCGTTATTGGTTATATACTTTTTAGATCATGAGGATGAGGATGAATTCAGTGAAAATTCTCGACCTTTATCTCCAGTTGATAATGGAAATCAACCAATGAATTTTCCCTTTCAACCTGTAATTAATGGTGTTGAAACTCTGAATAATTATAAAACAACGAACAGCAGTCAATGTATGTCCTACTATACTGTTTCTTCGTGTGCTGAAAGTTTACCTTCATCTGATTCAATCCAAAGTAGTAAACCTAGAAGTGAATTAAGAGAAATGACTGAAAGTGCTGTTGGATCTGATATTCCAAATAATAACTTTGTTCCTCAGTCTTTGTTACCAATGAATTTAAATTATGTGAATGATATCTTGTCTCTTGCTGGTGGTCGTGCAGAAAATGGTGTAAACTTCATCACTTGTCAACCTGGTTTAGAAGAAGTACCACCACTTGTTCCACCTCATAGTGACAAACCTGGTGCTACTTTCGTTGGAGATTCAGGGTCAACTTCTTGCAATGAATCAACATCGTATGATCCATCGATGAGTACTCAACCTGATAATACAGCTTATCAAGGATATGCTGCTCAATCAATATATACTACACAGCAGTCGAACCACGTTTCTTGTAACCACGGTGGAGTGAATTATACCTCCTCATCTCCTTTCAATCCTGAAGGATTAGTTACTGTCACAATCACCATTCCTAGTGTTTTGGAAACCACTTTAAGGAGTTTAGTTTCTAAATTGTGTTCTAACCCGTCTCATCCTTGCATCCTAATACCAACCTTAGAGTCTAATGACCCTTCATCTGTTCCTCATTGTTCGAGTGTACGTGTAGTTGATATACCAGAAGGACACATTTTTGCAGGTGTTCCTGGAGATGGACGAATGCCATCTGGTGCCTATTTGCGTAGTACGTTTTTAACTAGTGCCAAGAACGATACTGAAAAGGCATTTGTTCTTGTCGCAGATACTCATTCTGATGATAGTTTCTCTGGACCACACATATACAAACTTCCAAGAGACTCAGCACTTATTTTAACACATAATGGCAACATTCATTTATTAGACAGACCTGCTCTAGTTGTTCCAGTGCGTTCAGCAGACCAAAATCAAAGTGTCAGTCCTCCAAGTTCCCCGGATCATAGTTCTGGGATACAGCCAATTGTATCATCTGTGTATGTTCGTGAGTTGCCTATGCCGGCTGATACAGACGCACTAAGTTTTGATGATGTACTTGCTCTACTATTGGCTCTTCGTGATGCACCTCAAGGAGCTATGCAACCGTATCATTTAAATATGACCATGAATGCCGATAATGAAAATACTCAGATTGAGTCAAAAACTATGGTGTGCGACAGTGTTCCAGGCGCTGAATCTTTAAGTCGTCGATCATCTGCAGCTGCAACAGTAGCTCCTACCACTTCTGGATTTTATGCTTCGCAAGCACAACCTGTATCTACGTCTGGGATGACTCCTAGTCAACCATCACAAAGCTTACTAAGTCAACCACAGCAAATCCAAAATCCACATCAAACAGGTATGCAGTCAGCCCCTCAATTTCCAATCCCTGTAAGTATGGGTCATCAATCTACCAACCAACTGCCAGGTGCAGTTTCTTCAAATGTTGCTGCTTCCCGACTATCTTTGCCTAATCAAATGCATCCTTTTATCCAACCAATTGGTCAACCATCACCATTACAGTCAATTCCACCATCGACTGTGGATTCTCATAATCCTGGAGCTACTGCATACATGAATCAATCATATCCTTCAAACGATGTTATGCAGTCAAGTCAATCCATGATTGCTCAAAATCAATTGTCTTTACCCGTGAACAATGTCTATTTGCAACAACAGCTGTTGTCCATGAAGACACAACCAGAACACATGTCAGTCACTAATCAAACTCATATAAATCCTTCTTGTCTATCAAATTTACAACAATCTATAATGCAACAACAAGCTCATTTACCCACACAGCCAACACAACCAAAAGAATCCCAACAGCAAACCGGAATTCAGTCAAATACACAGCAACTCTTACAACTGTTGTCTGCTTTGAATACATTGCAAACCTTGGATCAGGTAAGCGGTTAATGTATTTTTATTTATTAATGTGATTTTATCAATCATTTCAAGAATTTAAACCATTATTACGTGAACAAACGAATGTTATAATCATTTTTTGCATTGAACCTGTATTTCGGAGGTCATATATATTTCAATAATAAGTTCACATACTAGATTACTTACCACTGTTTTTGCATGTGTATGTAGTTTATTGATATTTTCCTTTTACTTAAGCAAATTTGCTTAACCACTGATTATTTAATTATTGTCAGAGTTTATGACTGTCTCTCAAGTATGGGACTAGGTTGTGTTATTGGCTGCTGAACGACTGCTCTTCACAAACTAGTACACGAACCCGAACTTATCTGTTAGGTTGTACGTACTTTTTGATCTATTCATTTTTTCATTATGAAGTTTTGTATATATACATGGTTAACGTAACATTGATTAATTATTTCGTTTTTGTTTTAGGTACCTCAGTTCTTATCAAATCTTTTGAAAACTTCCAGTCAAGTTACTAATCCATCCTCTAAATCAGTGACAAATCCAGGTGTTGTTAGTACTGCTCCAACTGTAGGTGTAGTTCGACATCAAAGACAACTTTCTCCTCCAGTGTCCACACAGTCTGCAGTACCTGCCTCAACTCAACCACAAGCAAGTCATATTCCTCAAAGACTTAGTGTTGCCAGCCCTCCTGTACCCAACTTAGGGTCATGTTCAGCAAGCGTGAATTCTTTGCCTGTATTGTTAAGTCGCCTGTTGGCTTCCGCAGCTGCTAACTCTGAATGGTCAAAGCTTAATGAGATTAATAAACCTCAAGGTGTTCAAATGCGTCCTTCTTTCTTAGCTACTAATTTATCATCGGGTGCATCTACTGTAGAAAATCAGGATAATACGAATGTTCAGTCTGTAGTGAAGGCACCAACAAGCCAGACTAGTAATATTCACTCAACTCAGCCTTCGCATCAGCAGCAACAACAACCACAAATGACTCAAATACCGTCCCACCATCAACCCACTCAAATTCATTCACAATTGCAACACTCTTCCCAAATTTTATCACAACAGCAAGCTTCTCAGATGCAATCGCATACACAACAGCAATCTCAAACACCACCAGTCCCAACACAGCAACAAACTTCACAAATATCTGGACAAGCTCATCAACTTAATCAACTTCAATCGTCAGCCCAACCAACTCAAATGCAGCAGCATCAACAAGCTGCTCAAATACTGTCTCAAGCACCGTCACACCAGATCCAGCAACAACAGCCTCCGTCAGTTACTCCTCCTTTACAAACAAATCAAATGATTCAACAACCAGTTTCTCAAGTGACAGTACAACAGCCGATACATCAGACTCAGTCAATGCAATCAACACAACAGCAAACTCTCCCAATGCAAACTCACCAGCAACTGTCTCAACAATCTCATGCCTTACACCCATCGACACTGCAACACTTTCAGCATCATTCACAACAGTTACAATGGCAACAGCCTCAGCACCTATTGAATAACATTATCCCGAAACTGTCTGCACCTGCACCATCTAAAGATAGAAATCAACAACAACTTTCTTTGCCTGCAGCTCATACATACCTCAGCCAAATATTGCCAGAATTAGCGAATGCTGTACGTCTACTTCAGCAGACACCAGATAGTAATAGTGTAAGTTTTTAATTGATTACTATGCATATATATATATATATATATATATATAATCTATTATTTCTTTGATTTTGAATTAACTTGAATCCACCTTTCACACCACTTCCTTAGGTTGTGTAGTTGGCGTAGTATTCAAATTCTTTTTGATATGGCCTCTTTCTTCTGTCAAACTCTTTAGTTTGCTCAGTATTCGATGCTGTATGGATAGTTTGTGTTTTAGCCAGTAGGTTATTTCATTTCGAAAACGCATACACTAACTATTAAATAAGAATAATCATGTTTTTTTCTCCTCTTTATATTAGGTAGTGAGAGTTATCTTCTTTAAAAAAAATAATATGTTTATCAGTTTTAGTAATTGGAATGTACTTTATGTAACCAGATAATAAATTAAATAACTGCTTTGTTGATCTGTGTAAAACACCTGCATAAAGTATTTTTAGCTTGATATTAAAGCTACTGACTGACTGAACCATCAAAATTATTGTTGATTGAAGTATAGCTTAACACAATGGAACCTGATGATTTAAGATACATATGTTTCAATCGATTCGCCTTTGACCTATATTAGTTTAAGTAATGCTTCTTAATTGCCAATAATTATGTGAATTCATTGAGAAATAGCTGCATCATCATTTCTTATTGCAGTTTTTGATTTCTTGAAGTCAATAAAGTGAAGCCTAACAGGTAAGTTAGGCGAAAAGTGTTTCCAAAGTGGAGTTTGATAGAGCACAAGGGTATTTTGGGAACAGAAACTGTTTCTCAGTAATTATTATTATTGTTCCCTTGGGTTCCTAGTGGAACATAGGGCTTCAACTGCACGTCTCCACTTGTTTCTGCTGTACTTCTGACCTGCATCCATGTTAGTCCATACTCTTTCAACTCCTCTTCACACGATCTCCTCCATGTCACTCTTGCATTGACGTCCCACTTGCCGCTTCCCTTTTGGCTTCTACTCGAGCAATGACCTGACGCACGCGCGATGTCACCCAGCGGCCTCCTCAGCGAGTGTTCAATCCATCTCCCGTGTTCGACTCCCGACGCGGTAGCGCTTCACGCCTCGTAGTGTAGCGGTTAGCACTTTGGACTCTGAATCCAGCGACCCGAATTGGTGTCTCGGCGAGGCCTCGAGCTAAGCACTTGTGCGTCGGTGGTGCAGCGATAGAATGCTCGCTGAATATGCAGGTTGTTCGGGGTCCTATCCCCGGCCGATGCACTCATTTACCTCACTAAGCCAGTAAATAGGTTTGTTAAAGAGGGAAGGATGGGCATGAGGCTAGTAACCCCATCCCGTAAAAATTAAACACCACTGCTACCGAAACATCAAGCCTCTAGCTTGGAGCTCTATGTTCCACTGGGAACGTGAATCAATTATAATATAATAATCATATATAATCTCAGTAATGATCATTACTAATATATCCTTGTTATTGGAATGTCAATAATTTTCAAATTGAGGGACATTAAAGTATAGAAAGAGATTGGTGACTGCAAAGCCGTAGGCTTGAAATGAAATAGTGTTTGAAGTTTTGTCCATAGCTTTCTTTTTCTACCTCAAAACCAAGGTTTTACAATGGGAACATTTCTTATAGGGTGGTATACTGTACTGTAAGTTTTGTCACTCAAGAACTAAGAATACTGTAATCGTTTATTATCATTATTATTATGGTTTACCATTTTCTAGTCGCATTTATGTTTTCTTTGTGAGATCGTTTAAAAAAGTGGTTGAAGATGAAGGCGCAGATCATTTGGCTGACCTATTTTTTTTAGGCCTGTAAATCCATATTTCGTTCCTTTGTTTTTTTCTAATGATTAGCATGCTAGGCGTTTGATAGCTTATCATAAAAGTGTTTAAAATAAGGTGTAAAATGACTAAATCATTCATGGAATAGGTTTCCTTGTTTGTTTACTTCTATGGGTGTGACTAGTTGGTAAGTTGTGTAATAAAAGTGGCATTTAAAACAAGCGTGATACATTTGTTTACTTTCATTGAGTAAGTTCTTAAGTTAAATTTCATTTTAGAAGTTAAGGAGCATATTACTTAGTAGTCAGTCGAATAACTAATTGACTGACTGGTTTAAAAATAAGACTCTGCACAGAAGTTTAGCAGTTCGAGTTGCCACGCTCCATATTGTATACAAAGGAGGGGAAAAGAGATTCCAAAGAACGACAATAAGCAGAAGTGTGATGGAGAAAGGGTAGTAACATGGAAAAACAACAGGGTATCATAGATACCGCAGATAACAAACAGTGGATGTATCTGCGCCATTGAGAACTAATTTAGAACCATATCACCAACTGTCTTCAACCATTGGTTCTTATCATCCTGAGGACCTCAACCAAGAAGTGTAGACCTCTCCACGTGGCTAACCCTAACTAACTGTCAAAGATTTCATGGACTGACGCTACTCTTGGTTTGACTATCACTAGGTCTTTTCCAACTTTATTCTATGTCAGCTAACGTTGAACGTCGACGAAGATGATGGCTAGACATGCATGCGTAACCCATATCCTAACTATCTCAATTCATGTAACTTCACAATCCTGTCGATTGACTTCCCCTTGTTACTTAGAAGTTGACCCCCTAACCTCAATATTACTCACCTTATTATACCACTTAACACGGAAGATGGAACGCAAACCCCTATGATCAAAGATAGCTAGCCAGACTTTTCATGCCTTAAGCTTTCAATGGTCGTGTCTCATAACCATAAAGGAAAACGGATCAAACTGGTGCGCAGTACATGCGTCCTTTGATCGATAGCCAGTCGGAAATCAGTTTACAAATATCTCATATGACAGTAAATTTCTAACAATTTATTCGATCAAATTGTAGCTGTATTAAAACTTAACAAACCGTTTCACTCATTTTGTTAGATTAAATCAGTATGTATCAACCAAATTATGTGTGTTATACTGCTTATTCATGATGAAAATTTCCTAGTTGTGTTTGCAAAATTCGAATCATAAGGCTACACTGTAAAAAGCCAGTTCTTTAAATTTTCTTCAGTTATTCTTATCTTCAAGCGTTAATTTCAAGTGCGATCTTTGATTGACATCAGTTAGGGTAGCATTGAAAACACTGGAATAGTGAACCACTATTTTGTTCTAGTGTGAGACTCTTGAGCATTACTCATCCGTTACCCCTCCCTACCTTCCAGGAATCGAACTCAGGACTTTTAGGTTACGACTTGGACCCGTCGCCACCATTGAGCCACTGAAACAGAATCTAGTCATCCATGAATTCTAACTTATATCTATTCGCCATTTACTCCAAGTTATTTCGTATGTATTATTGTATGAAGAAATTCGTTTTTCTTTATATTTTCAAACAACTTCTCTAGGCTGGTTTGCTGTCTGTAGACGTTCAAAATAAGTTGATCACCCTTTTACAACAACAGCAGCAACAACAACAACAGCAACAATCACAACACCAACAACAGCAACAACAACCGCCACCACCAATACAACACCAGCAGTCACAACAACAACAACAATCTGTGCAACAAGTACAAAACCAGACTCAACCACAATCAGTAAATCATGATGTAACATTTAATTGTACAGGAACAAATGTTGCAGTGCCTTCCTGTTTACCTGGAAATGGTCAAATATTAAATATGCATCCTATATCTACAACTTCAAAATTGCCTATACCATCGACTATGAATTTAGCCTCTATGAATCGTTTTAATGTTACGCCTTCTCCTGTTTCGTCTAACACATCTGTGCCTATGCCTATATGTAGTGTAGCATCTAATTGTACACGTGATCATTTGGTTTCTCTTGATGTAGCTAAAGATATGATGAATAATGTTGATCATTCTCTTGTTAATAATAATATACCAACAGAATCGAATATGGCTTCGACTAGACCTATAAATCCAGGTGGAACAACTATAGCTAACAAGTTTACGGTATGTTTTTTTGTTTTGTTTTTCGAGTTCACCTCCATTTTTTGTTGTTAAAATATGCATCCAATTTGATTTCATTTTTTAAAAATTTACTCTAAGAAATCATCTATGGTAAGAGAATTTTACGATTGTTTCAAAATTGATTAAAGTGTTCGACAATTTTTGTAGTGGTGGGTTTTAAAAAAAAAATTAATGTGGATGGATTAATAATTGTTCTAAGTTAGTAATAAAGAACATTTCAATTTTCAATGCTACACAGGTTGCTCCTGCAAGCCTTGAAGATGATGATACAGTATCCTCGTCTGCAGTTGTGCAAGGATCTACATCCAATCAAAGGCAACAAGCACCACCAAGACCACCTAGACAACAGCGTAATTATGCCGGGTCTACGCTTGGAATGCATACATCAACTGAATCACTAGGGCATGGATCAGTTGGTACTGGTAATGCAAATGTCAATATGACACCTAGTATGAATCATGGTTTACCAGTTGGAACATTGACAAGTGTTAATTCAGCTTCAAATGCTCCATCTGCTCCAAACAAAGCAGTTCCTTATAAATATCCAGTTCGTTTACTTTTTCTTTTATCTTGTTAGCTTATATTATATAAATGAATTATTGTTTTCCCCTATCGCATAGAATGAGTATCTTCACGTTTTGGTACAAATTCTAATTATATTGAGAGTTTAAAAGTATTCATGGATAATCCCTATCCAGGCATTAATGAAAACAAAACGCGTAGATCAGCGAAGAGACTTTTTTCGGCGAATTCATTTTCTTAGCTGTACAATCGCAAATATATATGTTATTTTGTATGTATGTGTACATTAAGTTTGTCAAACAAAATTAAAATTGGTGATGGTTATTTTAACTAAATAGGTGAAGATTGGTAATACAAGTCAAGAAAATTAAGTGTTAATGAAATTAAGGTAGTAACAAAGGCGATGAGTTGTCACAAACAGTTGTGAAAAGAAGTTATGTAATAATATTAATAGTTTGATGAGTGGGTTTTACTCAGGATGCACATAGAAACAAAGTAGATAATACAAAATTATGTAAGAGTTCTGAACGAATACAAGAATTATAAGCAACTAAAGAACAGGCAAAGAAACAAAATTAGGTTATCAAATAAAAAAACTCAATTCAAATAAAAAAAATTGTTACCATGACAGTAGAAGTGGTTGAGTAATCTTTTGTATGCACAGCTCCGATTTTTCTATGTAAATGGCCAGAGCTCCGGCAATACAAAGGAGACGAAGCCGCATTGCCTTTGATAGGTTATTCTTGGTTCTGTAGAATACTTTGAAGGAGGCGTTTGTTGAGATGGAATGATCAGTGTTAACCAGGTGTTCAATTATCGCACTCCTTATTCCACCACTATTGCCTTTTCGCAACCATGCTGGATTGTGTTCTTGAATCCTCTTGGACAGGGTGGGCGTCGAACGACCGATGTACCTGGCTCCACAGCAGCAGGTGAACTGATATATATACACAGAAATGGTCAGATGGGGGATCTTGTTCTTGAGGCTTCTGCAGATCAGTGGGCGACTGGAGAACACTATTTTAAGCGTTGCTGCTGCCTCAAAAAAAGTTTGAAAGTAGAGGAAAATAATGTCATTATTAAATTCTAAAATGTTGATATTTTGCCTACAATGTTGGCTGTGATGTTCTTATAGCTTACAATAATTAGTTGCCATTACGATGATAACTTGGTATACACGGAAAGCCGTAATGTTGTACTACTTTTTCACCTATGTATATATATACCTGTAATCTTTGTTGATGTACTTCCCTTATTGAAATTGTATAGCAAGCAGAGAAGTAAAAATACCTTTAGGGATTACATCTTCAGTTGTAGAATTAAATTTTGTTATTGATAATTAGTAGTTGTATTAGTTCTACACTGAAGGATAAATTGTTGTTTTACACAAAGTATGTATCTATGCTTTGACTGTTATCGTTAAAGTATTATTATGATTATTTGTTTACTTGTTTGAAATCCTTTTCATTCTTTTGGACACTACAGTGTAGTTTACTATTTATTTTTTTGGCAAATGAAGTCATTTTCATACCCCGAACCATGTCCATGGTCGGTGAGCGCCCTAACCACTGTGCCACCGACGTGTTATTAGTAGTGTAACGGAATTGAAGTGTTAAGGCGTAAGCCTAACTAGTCACCATCATCCACTAAGTCACTTCAAAGTAATCCTTAGACATCTTCGAAGCATCCGTATACTGGCAGCTGACATGCCAGCAGAGTCTGAACATGTTGGTCCAATCATTCAAAAATCAAAATTGATTTAAAAAGACATAATATCTCTGAAGCCCGTTGCACAAGAGGTGTCTCTGGTGTCTGACTCATGTGACGTGTGAAACGATGCATGCTGGGTTAGAGTCTCAGGTCATCACTCACTAGGGAATGTTATTATACATTCAGATGATGAGTCCAAAAAAGGATGAAATGTGCATCTAGGATTCCATTATTAGTCGGCATCTGCCAAATCAATCTTCAACAATCATGATTAAATCCTGTAACCAATCAAATTCCTACAAACCAACACTTGAATACCAATGAGATGCTCACTAGCGACTTACCCTATTCAGGTACCTGGGGTTCTAGTGAGAAGTCGTGACCAGTAGGGTGCAGTAGGTCGGGTGTGAGGACGAATACTCGCCGAAGACATTGGCTAGGGGTCGCGGTATGTCGTGAATTGGCAGAAGTTGGAATTCATGGGCCATTGGATTGGGTCCCAGTGGCTTAATGGTATACTAGCTCGCCTTGTAAGTGGAAGGTCCTGGGTTCGAACCATGGTCGTGTGTGTACTGCTGAAGAGTCTCGAACTAGGACGAAAGAGCTGCCCAGTACTCCCAGGTTTTCCAGTGGTTCCCTAACTGATGTCAGCTCATGATGAAATCCTGTTAACGTGCATTGTTTAAAAACAGGAATATTTCACTCCATTGTATATATCTAAGGAAATCAGGTAGCTCTCGCCTATGGAATTATTCACTCGCATACACTACTGGTTGGCTGTGTGGAAAACACAACGATTTGGTACTTCAAGTATATATGACTATTTCAATTCAGTTTTGTTTCTTGTTTTTAAAAAATCTGATGAAACTCAGCATAAACTTAGTGCCCTATAAAAAAACAAAAATGTTTGTTCTATTTATTTATTTTTTTTAATCATACGGAACTTAATAAGCATGAACTCTCAGTATTATAATGGCTATCTAGAGATATTTGGAATTCTGTTTATTTAAATTTTATTTATTTTGTATTATTTAATCGATACAATTTTTGTCCAGTAGATATTGATGTTAAATGTTAAAGCACAAAATGAATTACGTAATATTGTTAAAATTCAATAATCATCCAAGTGATGCAAGATTATCAGTCTTCTGTAGGAGAAAATAATAAAGATATATAATGATGGCATAAAAGTATTAAAGTAAAGTAAATAAATAAATAAATAAAACTGAATTTATTTCTCTTAAGTACACAAATTATTTCACTTTCGGTCTGTAGAACGATGGACTCAGCAATGCTGTAAGAAAGAATCTACGTCTTCCATGTATAAGTGAGTTGGTGAAATTGCATATGCTTAGACAAATGAAAAGGCTATTCTTGATTGTGTTCCATTGTGTCGTTAAATATACTATTTTCTACTGCTCTTCTGATTATCTTCATGGAGAAATGCTTTTAATATTGTGTGTGTGTGTGTGTGCTCTCATAAACGATAACGACCAGATGCTATTAACAGTGTGTGATTTATTATTTAGTGTTTTCATTATGATGGTGAATAAATATGTGAAGCTATTGTGCATTTTTGTTGTGGCAGTCTTTTTACTTGTTTGAAGGTTTATTTATTCGATTGAATGGATGATCTCATCATGAGAAAACCACTGGAAAACCTGGGAGTACTGGACAGTTGTTCCGTCAGACTAGTTTGGGACTCTTCAGCAGTACGCACCAGCCAATGGGGTTCACACCCAGCACGTGTAACCAGAAGGTCATGGGTTCAAACCCTGGTGGGTACATACTGTTGAAGAGTCCCAAACTAGGACGAAAAAGTGTCCAGTACTTCCAGGTTTTCCAATGGTTTTCTAACCAATGTCAGCTCATGATGAAATCCTCCATTTAATCAAACAAAAATCACTACAAAACCAATATTTGAAAGTTTATTTATTCGTTGCTAGAGCTCTTAATACCAACCTAGATACTATTACTGTTTCTCATATTACTCACAATCAAGTTTTTAAGTTAGGTAGGAGACGCTTGTATCTATTCATAAATTGTATAGTTAGGTGACTGTGACTGTTTCAGTTGCTTTCCATTAGGTTATTGAGGAAAGTCTTTAAGATGAGAAACATTGAAGTGAAATGTCTTGTCGCTAAAACTAGGAGCATTAACATATACACAGTGCCTACAATCTTGGTGTATCCTCTATTAAGTGAAGCTATCAACAGTAATCAATAAGAAAATAATGCAATGATAAGAATATAAGTTAATGAAGATTCAAAGTCAACATGAAAGCTAGTCATCAATCTTAATAACAATAAAGAATTAGGAAATTCATTTGTCTAACTGACAGATATATTGCTATTTTAATTCTGTTCATACTTCAGTAACAAGTAGGTAATCACTTTAATTAGCTGGTATTTTTAGATGTCTACACATGAAGTTAATTTCCTACTTAAGTTCGTTTGTTTTATAAATTACGGTTTACCCTGCCTAAATAATCATCAGATCACCTTAGCATTCTGACTTTGTTTTTGTTTGAAATGTATTTTCTTTTTAAATTCAAAGTAATGCTTTTCGAATTACTCTCATTTCGTGCTATCTCAATATTCTTGATTTTATTTTCATTTTTTAATGATTCGATTAGACTGAGAATATCCCCTCTCAACATGGTCCATCTACGACAACTATGCCGACTACTACATTGACTGCTGCTCTACCTCAAATTAATAATCCTCATCAATCTACTCTTTCATCGTCTATTGTAACAAATACAGTCCCACTGAATACAGTTCATTTAACTACTACTGTTAATTCTGTTTCGACTGTATCAAGTCAGAACCAACCTGGATCTCAACTGCCAAGTTAGTTTGTAATCACCTTTTAAAATAATCAGATTTTTTCTAAATATGAACAAATTTTTTTTTAAGTTAAATAGTTCAATGAATTTTGTGATCATGGTGAATACAAATGTATGTGTTGAAATTGATTTAATTTCTATAACGGCTTTTTTTGCACCCTATGTATGTAGGTGTATTATTGTGCTATTTTCTTTAATCTTTTTTCTTTTTTTGCTTACGAGTGGTGACCTTATTTCACTGTTTTACTTGCTTAATTTTCTAAGAGCAATTGTTGAGTAAATATCTTCATCGAGTTTACACAACGATATTTAGCGCTTTTGTGAATATTTATTGAATGGTCAATTAAGGTTGAGTTGATCAGGATTCGCTGAATCTATCTGGTTGTTAGACGGAAACCTAATTTCTCTCAAGCAGCTCCAAATATGTCGTATATATATATATATATATATATATATATATATATATATACCATTTGCTTCAGATAAGAGAAGTGATCAGTCGCCCAGTTTACACTTTATTATGAAAAGCACCCTGAATGTATTAAGTTCGTTAGCAACTTGTTTCTCATTGGACACTAAGTTAGTAACTAGTGTAGTGTGTCTAGTCCTTTGTTTAATGCGGACTGAATTCTATCAGTCACGCTGGCAATGTGGCCACCATGTTGGGTGGCTCGCCATCACTGCTCATTTTGAATATTTGATACTAGATGGTTGGAGGCGATTGACAGGAGACCTTGGACCTAGTTTTCGTGTTAGTTGGCACTCACCTGTCAGCAAGGCGGGAAAGGAATTCATATCCCTTGTGAGATTTGAACCCACGTCACCCAGTGCCGTCTGCAGTCGGAGACGTTACTACTGAGCTCTTTGGGCTCGCGATTGACCACCTATAGGACTGTATCGAATACTTATGATTGGACGTCTATGACTTTTAGTCAAATGAAAATGAATTAGTGAAACCTAAAAGCATTTCGTAGCTTTTCCTTTGATGTGTTGTTTGGTAATTCAGTGTGTTAGGCAGTGAGTTGTAAGCAATAGTATTCTTTTCAACCTTCTGTAGGTATAAAGTGTATAATAGTTAAATGTCATGATATATGTGCTTCTTTGGTGCTGGAAGTACAGTGCTATACCATTAACTTACACCAAACAGTTTTACGTTGTGTTCTGTGTTGCTAGGTTATATAATATGTTCATTCACACAGAAAACTTTTTAACATTCATTTTTCTAAAAATATTGCACATCCAGTTAATGTTCTAATTAGTAGTCGCTAGTCATTTGTGAGGAGGATCAATAACTGAATAAACTTGAGCGGGATTATGCCATATCTTCATTTGAAAGTAATATCTGAAGGGCAGTGTGATCTTTTGGAGATTTGAACATCCTACCATTGAGTGTCTGAAGATCCTTAGTTTTGCAATAAAACAACTGTCCAATGTTTCTTCATTTTTAAGGTTTCTCTCATTTATTTCTCTTCATGATAATAGGCATTTTTTTTATGCCCTATTTTGGTTTTTCCTTTTTTCTTTTAGCTTCAAAGTGAATTTATCCTAGTGGAAGAAATCAGCATGGTCTTTCTATAAGGATCTGTATCAAAATCTACAGTCTTATTCTCAACAGTCTCGTGTCTTTGCTGTCTGATATTATTGTAAAAGCTTATTTTTCAGTCATCCTGTTGTTGTTTTTTTTCTTTTAGTAACCCGGTGTTTTCTAGGTTCTTTCAGGTTTCACCGTAATTAACTTGCATATATATATATATATATATATATATATATATATATATAAGCAATAATTTGCTGTAACACTCACTCACTCACTCACACATACATACATGTGCACACACAGAGATTCCTGTTGCTTTCTTTTTTCTCTCCTTGTATTCTTCTTGAAAATTGAACATACTTCATCCTGCGTCTTTCTTTACGATCTTTATTTTCTTCTTTTTGTTGCTTTTGTGAAGGTCTTTATGCATATATACATACATATAACATAAACCAGAAATAAAGAAAAGTGTGTATAACTTTCTCTCACAATATCGTATTATGTAATAGTCGTGCAAAAGTACTACTAGCTTCGCATGTTTTGTCATTTCATTGTATCATGTTCTGTGCCAAAAAAAAACACCGACACCACCACCACCAACAACTTGTAGTTTTGTTTTGTGTTTTTATTTAATCTGATTTTTAAGATATGCATACCTTTGTTCCTTTGGCCTACACATGTTACAATGTATAGTTCATAAGAATGTTGTCATTGGTCTTATTGTTGCTGTTGCTTCGCTTTCAAAGTTGACTCGGTCTCATTTTCTTCATTTTGGTTAGATTTCGATTATTACTCAATGTGGTTATTTGATTTCTTCAATCAAAAAAAATAAATAAATAGATAATAATAATAATGATACAATCATCGACACACCTTTTTGTGTGTGTGTGTGTGTGACTGTTTCTTTACTTTACTTTCCTATCCTTTCCTTTCCTTTTCGACTGCCAATTTATTTCGTTGTTAACTTTGTTTTGTTTCTAGTTCTGTATTATTACTCATTCGTCCGTGATCTCGGTTGTTATATAATTTACTGTGCTTTGTCTCTTGTTCGTTCTCTATGTCTATATATACTTACTACTTTATTATGGTGGGTTTTTTTCCACGTGTACACGGTACACACAGTCACACTTTGCATTATCATCAAAGAGGATATTTTGTATTTATATTATAAATATTCCAGTCTCCCTCTCTCTCTCTCTCTCTATGCATTGGTTATTTCTTTTTAAGGCATACAGCAATGGTTCACAGCTTTGAAAGCTTACATTAAATAATTCACAAAATTATTGTTATCGTTATTTCATGATTCCCCCCACCCCCTCCTACTCTCTGTTCGCCTATCTACTGCTTTGTACATTTTGTTCTTTTGTTTCGTCTAAACGACTGGATGATGAGAAACGACGGACTACACACAGTTTAAGAAGAATACGATATTGTAATTTATGGTAGTAACTGGTTATATATAATATACATATATATATATATGCACACATATAGATTAATTTCCTTATAAAATAATTGATATTTGTTCTTTCTGTACTTATTGATTCACATATAACAGTCATATATATATATATATATATATATATATATATATATGCACTTCATGACTGATTGGGTTTCGCACTTTGTCTCCTCTCCTTTTCTGTCTAATTGAGCTTCCATAGCTTTTTCGTTCTTCTTTTCCTCCTTGTCATCATTATTGCTATCTCTAGTAGATAGAGGACGGGAGAGGGGGGGAGAAGCTTTCTTTTGTCTATATACTTTCATTACACAATCATTCCAAAAGTAAAGTATCTTGTTGTTTATATATATTATTATACGCTTGCATGTGTAAACACAGTAGTAGGAGAGTAGATTGATTGATTGACTGATTGATTAGTTTCATCGTTTTTTTTAAATTCCTTTAGATGGATATAACATACACACACATATATATATACATACAAACAGGCATGGTGATTAACTTGACAGATGTAATTGCAATCGGATTAATTTCGTCATTTTCGTTTTCTTTAATTCTCTTCAGCGTTTTCATTCTCTTACTATGTCTATGCCTCTCTCTCTCTCTCTCCTCTTTTCTATCAAATATACACATATATACACACTCAGTTGTGTATCAGAGCTTGCTTTGCATATTATATTGTCTTATATATATATAGGTGACTGTTTTACTGTTGATCGGGTTTCGCAGTGTTTTTAAAAATATACACATATATATAAATTAATAGAATTGTTGAGCAATATGGCGTTGTTATTTTATGTTTTTTATTTAATATTGGGTGAGAATTAAGGGTTTTCTTTAGTGTTTCAGGCATATAATAATAATAGCTAATGTTATTACAATTTCAGACATTTAGTCTAAGAAAAGTATGCGAAACAGTTTTGCTAATTAATCGTTGACTTCAGCTCAGATATGAAATGTCTGTGTGACACTAATCAGTTTTTACTGTCTGTTGTAACGGTGCGTTATTTGAATATGTATCACTGACTAACTATGCTGTATAATAGTACACCGTTCTGCTACAATAAATGATCATTGATGGTCAATGCTACGTCTTGTCTTCTAATATATGTAGTATACACTAGTTCGTTGAAATCTTCGAAAATTCAGGATTCAGCGATTTGATAATTCTGTTAGCTAGTGTAAAAATGACTCTCAGTGGCACACGGATGTACTTATCTCCGATGTATACTTCATGATATCGCTCTAACTTTATTTGATTTCAATACCTTTCTAATTATGCAGTGTTATGATAATGTGAACTTAACCATACGGTGTTCCGCACTTTTATGTTTCTCCACTATCATTGGTCAGTCTTGTTTGTAAAGTTGTTTATGAATTAGTCTGTTCTGATTGTGCGTCGTTGGTTCAAGTGGTAGAATTCTTGCCAACTAGTCATGTGGTGCACGGTTTGATTCCTGGGTGGCGTACTCAACCCCACGAGTCGGGAAAGTTAGTGGTTTGTGAATGAGGCTACCAACCCCACCTAACAAAGGAAACAACACCAAAGATACTGGGACTTTAAAGTTCTAGGCTTGAAGCTCTGTGTTCCATTCGGAACTCAAAGTGGTGAGAAAAAATTGTCTGTTCTGTTTCAGTTAACTGCTAATGATAATATTTTGGTTGCGAGTTATATTTAGCGTGCAATTAGATGAAGCTAACTAAAGAATGAGTCAGCTATAACGGTAAAGTAAATTAATAGACTTGTTTTTGCATTCGGGTTAATACCTTTTCTAACATTATTATCCCTTTTTAAAGTATTTATGGGAATAATGTTTCATTTCACCGAATGTATATTGAAATACTGAACCAGCTTTACCACAACGGAAAACTCACTTAGCGAGGCGTTCGAAGTGATTACTGGAGTAAAACAAGACTGCCTATTGTCACCGATGGTATTCCTAATTGTGGTGGATTGAATTATGTGTCATACTGTGGGTAAGTGAGAAGACAGGAATATGCTGGACTGACAAGAAGATGTGGATTTCTCATATGATTTATCCTTAGTGTCTCGTAAACTCGAAGACTTGCTGGTGAAAACCAACAAACTGGCTGAAGTGTAGGATGCAGCGAAGACAGGACTCCAGGTGAACATGGAGAAGACGGAGGTGACGAAGATAACCAACCAGCAATAACCAGCACCATCAACGGTAGAAATTTGAAAGAGGTTACTTCATTCACTTACCTAGGAAGCATCGTTTCAACCACAGTAATCGGAACAAATGAAGATGTCAAAGCAGGCCGGAATCGGAAAGCCAAGATACGCCTTCATCATCCTGAAATCAGTTTGGAAATCTTTTGCACTTCGCGGCATAAATAAGATTCGATTTTTCAATACTAATGCGAAACCACTTCTATACGAGTCAGCGACTTGCACTGAACGTCACGAAAATCATTTCCAACAAGTTACAGACTTTTATCACTAACTGCCTTCTCTGGTTGTCCAGAAAGAATTAGAATCAAGAAACTCTGGCTGGGAACAAACCAACCAAGAGGTGATTGCTCAACAAATATGTAGGAGAAGATGAAGACGGATGGGGCATACGCTAAGGAGATCGTCGAATGACATAGAGTGGAATCCCAATGTGAAGCGACGAGTAGGTCGTTAGTGCGAGGATGACATGAAGGAGATCGTACGAGGAGGGCATAAGAAATTATTGGAAACTGTGGCTCCAGCTAAATAAGACGGCAGGAAGTAGAACAAAGTGGATATGCGTTGTTGAAGCCGTATGTTTCACTTGGAACCCAAGGTAATGCTAATATACACCAACTTAAGATGTTTTAAATTATTCTATAAACTAAGTATATATAATATTTGGACGAGCATATCTTTTCTTGTTTCTTCATTCATTTTCTGTTTTAAAGTGATGATGTATTTCCCTTTTTTATCGTTTTTTCTCCTATTTTTCATTGATTATATTTAAGATAGACAAATCAACGCAAAACTACTTGCTAGAATGTATCAGTCTTTGTGCTTTATTTCAAAACACTATATAAATATAAATTAAGAAAAAAGAACATTCAGTTGATGATGCAACTGAAAAGCATTCTATTGAGGGGACGAAATAATTACCTGAAAATTGAGCGGGGAGGGGAAGTGATAGGCGAATACATATATCAGTTGCGTTTGAGGAAGGTATTTCTGCTATATTATTCAAGTGTTCCATTGATTTTCAAAATAGACTAGGACTGAAGTCTAAGTACCTTACAACACCTCAGACAAATGGTTAAAAACCCTATGGATTAGAGCTGTGCTTTGGTTTGAACACCTGTTAGGTTTTTTTTATCCAGTTTAGTCCTTATTCAACTACAATTGTTCAGTCTGAGCGTAACGTCTTTTCCGTCCATACAATTAATGTTTATATATATATTCACTTTATTTCGTAGAATCCTGTCATGATATTCATTAATGAACCGTGTGTATCAGGTTTCAGGTTGTTGGTGATGAAGTCGTTTATTCACTTATTATTAATGGGGGTAAGTAGTTCTTTGCAAGGCCTGGATAAAAATTTGATTTATTGTTGTAAACAAACATGGTTATATCTTATCTCGCTCTCTGCACACACTACTTCTTATTCATGCGTCTGATTATGATGACTACTTTACACTGGTATTGTCTTCTGAATGAAAGTTTTTCACACACACACATACACACAAACATTTTGGCAATCGTATCTTTAAGATTCATTTTGTTATAATTGTGATTCAAGTTAACTTTTAGTTTGTTAAAGTTGAACGGAAAGCTTTTTTTCTTTCTTATATATATATATATATATATATATATATATATATATATATATATATATATATATATATATATATATATATATATATATAATCAATAAGGATAACTTCATTTTTCAATTTGTGTCTAGTCAAATGACCTTATATCTGCTGTTAGCCATTCCTCTTTTTGTTTATTTTTAATTACAACCTAAGAATAAGTTGACTGATTTGTGTTTTCATAAATTTATTTTATCTGATGGTAAAATCTATATTTATTACATATCTATTATTATATTAATTTCAAACTTGGTGATTTCTACTTTGAGACTGTTTATAATGTAATCTGACAATAAGAAATATAATATGTTTCTTTAGTTTTTAGATAGACGTGTTTGTGTGTGTGTGTGAGTGTGTATTGAATATGATTAACTGATTGATTTCAGGCCATATTCCAATCTAAAATGGATAGCAGAAAGAGACATGTCGACCTGAGACCGAGCACTTCGGTCCAATCGATTGATGGGAAAATCTAAAATCTGAATTAAATAAAGTAGATGTCAATTAGTATAAATTATTAGGAAACCAGATGGGGAAGGAAGCCTAAAACTTGTAGGTTATACTGTGAAAGCACGATCTGTGAAAACTCTGGATTGAATGTTATGACCGACGGGAATCCCTGAAACAAGTTTCAGAATGAATACTTACTGGTTGTTGATATTGCTACACCACAACTTTGAGTACTAGGGCAGAAAAGACACTGCTTGACTGGATCCCGGTAGATAGCCGAATGTGTGCTGTCCGCCTGAACGGATCAGTAAAAAGGAAAGGACTGCACTACTCGCCGATGCCTTTTCGTAATCTCCGCCTACGCCCCCACTGACTGCAGTTCAGATGAAACGAAGGATGAGTTCTACCAAAAGCTGTCTAGTTTGGTGCGAAAGGCTAAACGCTCAGACATAGTCGTTCTAGCTGGTGACTTTAACGCTCAAGTAGGGAAATTGTGTCAATCTGAGAAGGATGTCGGTGGCACCTATGGAGTTCCGTGCCAGCGAACCGACAACGGTGACCGTCTCCTACAGTTCTGTTCTGATAATCATTTGTTTCTTGTAAGCACTAACTTCAAACACAAGGAGAGACACTGTTTGACTTGGAGACCCCCTTCATCAAACCAACGCTGGACACAAATAGACCACATAGCAATAAGCTATCGTTGGCGTGGGTCGGTAGGAGATTGTCGCTCCTTCTGGAACACGTGCGTAGATACCGACCATGCACTGGTCCGCGCTCGGGTGTGCTTACGACTGAACGGACGTAGGAAACAGCTGGCGGTAAAACCATCACGTCCCCAGCTCGATCAGGAAACTAAATCCGTATTTCAGGAAGAACTAGCTAAACACATATCTGTGTTCGACAGCTGTGCTCACCCTGAAGAAGCTTGGAAAAATATCCAGGCAGCCATAGATACAGCTGTAAAAGCTGTGAATAAGGTAAACCCAAAGGTGAGTAAAAACCACTGGATCTCCACCGCCTCATCCGAACTGATAGATGCTAGAAGACTTATTCCGGCGAGCTCCGAATTCAATGAGGAGCGAAAGCTGCACAAGAGGAAACTTACGAAAAGTCTCCGCAAGGACCGTGAACAGTGGTGGGCGACAAAAGCCAAAGAGATGGAGAAAGCTTCGAGGATAGGCAACACCAGGCAACTCTTTGGACTCATCAGGGAAACGGGTGGGAGAAGACAAATCATTAGTGAGACAATCTCGGAAAAAAATGGCACTATAATTAGCTCCCAGGATAGACGACTGGATCGTTGGAAAGAGCATTATGAGGAGCAGTTTAATTTGCCCACAGCCACGCTCAACCTTCCGAGCATCCAACACCTCCCTGAATGGGATATAGACACAGGTCCTCCGTCACTAACTGAGGTTACTAAAGCTGTCACCAATCTGAAACTAGGCAAAGCAGCGGGACCTGATGGAATGACTCCAGAGGTATTTAAGTACGGTGGAGACAGCTTACTGTCCGGATTAACTGAGGTACTAGGCAGCGTCTGGGAATCAGAAGAAGTCCCATCGGGTTGGTGTAAGTCACTGATTATCCCCATATACAAGAAGGGAGACAAGTCTTCCTGTGATAATCACAGAGGGATTAGCTTGACTAATATAGTATCTAAAGTCTTAGGCTCAATAATCATGCGTAGACTGAGTGGTGCTCGGGAAGCACAAACACGAGAGAGCCAGGCAGGCTTTAGACCAGGAAGAGGGTGTATTGATCATATCTTCACCCTCCGACAGATTCTAGAACATAGGCATTCCTACCGGCGTCCAACAGTCATTATATTTCTTGACCTAAAGGCAGCATTCGACTCTGTCGATCGGGAAGTTCTCTGGAGATGCTTGGCTGTAAAGGGAATTCCGAGAAAATATATTGCACTGATTAAGGCACTCTACTCGTACTCATACAGCCAGGTGAGGGCTTACGGCGAGCTGTCATCTGAACTGATGACGACCAGTGGTGTCCGTCAAGGATGCCCATTATCTCCTTTTCTATTCAACTTCATCATAGATGTGTTAATGGACTTAACCCTAGGTGACTTCAGCGACTCAGGGATTGACTTGCTACCGGGAATAATCTCGTTGACTTGGAATATGCAGACGATATAGTCCTTCTAGGCGAAGACGCTGACGAAATGCAGAGTCTTCTAAACACCTTGAGCCGCAATCTACGAATGTTTGGCATGCGATTCGCTCCCGCCAAATGCAAGATGATGTTACAGGACTGGACTACATCGACGCCTAGTTTAAAAATAGGAAGTGAAGTGGTAGAGCACGTTGACCGCTTCACTTATTTGGGAAGTACCATCAGCCAGCCAACGGGTTGATCTCTGACGAAATCTCAGCACGAATACAAGGGGCTCGTTTCGCATTTGTTAGTTTACGCCGACTCTGGCGTAGACGAGATGTTCGACTATCGACCAAAGGGCGGGTGTACTGCTCATCAGTCCGCTCCGTCCTCCTTTATGGTTGTGAGACCTGGCCACTGAGAGTGGAAGACATGAAAAGACTAGCTGTCTTTGATCATAGGTGCCTGCGTTCTATTTCCCGTGTAAAGTGGCATAATAAGGTGAGCAACATTGAGGTTAGGCGTAGAGTTCTAGGTAAACAGGGGAAATCAATCGACGAAGTCGTGAAGCTACAAAGACTGAGATGGTTAGGACATGTGTTACGTATGCCAAGCCATCGCCTCCCTCGACGAGCAATGTTAGCGGATATAGGGTCAGGCTGGAAAAAAGCTAGCGGCGGTCAAACAAAAACTTGGCATCACCAGTCAATGAAATCCACAACAGTTGGTCTAAGCCACGTAGGAAGGTGTAGACTTCCAGGCTGGGGTCCTCGGGACGGTAAAAATCTATGGTTGGAAACAATTGGTGACATGGCTCAAAATCGTTCTCAGTGGCGCAGATGCATCCACTCCTTGTGACTTATGATTTCCAATGAAACTGTTTTGTTCTTCGTTATTACTCCTCCTTTGTCTCACACCTCTGCTCACTGTTTCTATTATGCTTTTCTTGTACTTTCTTCTCTTGCTTCGCGTGCTACACGGAGTGTGGCGACTTGAACTGCCGCACATTTGTGCAAAGTTCTATGTCGAAAATAGACAGACAGACACCACAACTTAGAGAAGTTGGAAATCATCAGTCATTAGATAGATTGTGTTGTCTACTGACTAACATTAAATTAATTTCATGACCTGACAGCTTGTAATTTTATTTGGCGCACTTGCCTAATGAATTTTAATTAGCTTCAGTATGGATAAAATTGTATTTTGATAAAATCTCTCAGTGTTATTAAGTAATATTTACTGATGACCACGTTTCGAGCACAAATTATTGTTGCTCATAATCATATCAAGACACTCACAGGACGTTTTTGCTTTATTTAAATACATGAGTAACAAGTGGTTAGACATTTGAATAAAATCAATATAAGATAAAGTACATTCGGAAATAATATTAGTGTTATCAATAAAATGCAATCAGATGAGAAATAAGATGTTTTTATAGTAAAAATAAGTAACTTGTTAGAATGTTATAATGTATGTAAATTGGATACATTTTAACATTATTTGTTATCCTTTGATTTGACTGGTAATAACACCCATACTTCGTAACGATAATCCTTTTCTTCACGTTAATCACTGCATGTACTTCTCGCAAAACGTCTGCTCCAAGGGTTTGGTGCAACTCAGGTACAACCAGGAATGGAAACGTCACATTAACCTCTGCAGTCTGACACTCCTGCGATTCTTAACACGGCCGCCTACTGTCTGTACTATCAGCGAACACGGTCCTACACTCTCGCATATACTCTTATCTACGAGTGAGACTGCTACCCCTGTGTCGATTAAACACACCAACTCGCGGTCATTTATGCGCAACTTCAAATACATCGCCCCCTTCCAAATAACCCCTATTAACCGTAGTAGTTGATAACAGAAAGAAGATACATTATACCTTATAAAACCTTTCTTCTGTAGTCTCTCTGGGCAATGGTTTTTCCAATGGTCCAGTTTGCCGCAGGCAAAACACCGGTCTTTCCTCATTCTCAGCGCGGCCACTTACAGCTGCAACTCTCCAATTTGTCGCTCACACTACTTGGCTTTCGGTGGGGCTCTATCGCGGCAACTGTCTAGTTTGATAGTTGCCTAGTTACCTTTGCGAGCTTCCCAATGTCCAGTGGCTGTATGGCGTGAATTAGATGTAGCTTTTGAGATATGTGTTCTGGAACACTCTCCATAAACTGAGATGCCAAAATTTGTGCCTCAGAATGCTCGTCCGGTGTTGGCAGAGCACGACACAGTAGGTTTGTCAGGACCAGGGCCAATACAAATGAGTCTCTGTCAACTCCCAGCTACGTGGTACGAAACTACTACATCGCCCGCTCTCTATCCATCGCGCTGTCAAACGTCTCTTTCAAGCGTTCAACTACTGACTTCCAAGTTTTTTTA